AAATGTGAATTACTTAGCTTTTGACTTCGGTAGTGTAACCATTATTTGATTCCGAAGAGATTACTGAATGTAAACACGCGAATGTAAGAAAAATACACTTTATTTAATTACATGTTCAAAATGTAAGCCGCCTTCCATCACGTAATATTCCGGTCTTTTACTTCACATTTCCACTTCTGTAAATCGAGTAATAAGTAAATAAAAGTATCATGTAATATGTGTTTTGAATTCGTCTCGATGTCCTCTAAAGCTATGAATAAAAAAATGTATGTTCCTATTTAAAAAACCCGAGATGAACTTGACTTTGCCAAGAGAACAAACTGTTCTCAAAATTTGCTTTACTAATATCCATTGTGCACTTCGTACCCTGCAAATATTGTTCTAAACTTTTTTTCGCAAGGTGAAAGTGGGAGAAAAATCGTGAGTAGCGTTTCTGGTAACACCCTGTATTTATTTGACGTCATATAACTTTTGGAAAGTCTGATGCTATCAGTCCTATAATTTGGTATCAGTTCTATAATTTATTGTATACATGTTCAGCTTTCTTAAAGAATGAATTGACATGAATTATTATGAGGAAAGCTCTAACTGTAATAAGGAAACGATTAATTTCGTAAGCGGATTTCACAAGTCCTAACGTTTACGATACATCACTGTCACCGATATTGTTTGTCCAATTATTGTATTATACCGGACACATAATTACCACATTAAGGATACTTGGCTCAATTATGGTGTTAACCAATGTGAGAACAAATAAACGTAGCATTTCACTCTCGCAAGAAGTCGTGTCCGAAGGAAAACGTGGCTGTGTTCGACCGGAAAACTAGCGTTCACGACATTAATTATCGCAAAAGCATTTGCAATGATCATTGTTTATTACCGGTTCACGTTATGTCTCGATAATTGGTGTTTTTAGACAACCGACAAACATGACGGAGTACTATCGAAAAACGAAGTCCAGATAAAGTCTGCGTTGCTCATTAAGGGGAACCTATTCGGGCTTCCTGTATAACTTGTTCTCTTCGTAACTCGAGCAAATGGTTTCTATTCTCCATGAACGGTTTCTGGTATCGTTCTAATTTCTTCCTGCCTGCTTTTCCGCGCATCGTGTCAGTTTCGATGGAAATTCTTTTGTCCAAATTTCGTTTGCACGTTGTATTGATATTAATACTTTAAGGGATAATGGGGTACGTTTACGACCTTTCTTTCTGGTCAGTTTCTGATCTAATTGATTATTGTTATTTATTTATTCATAAAACTTGAGTGCAATGTAGGTTTTAAAACTTGATGATTTCTAAATTCCAAATTTCTGTATGTCCAAATTTTCAATTTTTCAAGTTTTCATCTTTTCAATTTTACAAATTCTCACGTTTTCAAATTTTCGTATTCTAAAATTTGCAAGTTTTCACATTTTTAAGTTTTGAAGTTTTCCAATTTTCGAAGTTTCAAATTCTCAAATTTTCAAATCCTCAAATTGTCAAATCCCTAATATTATAAATTTCCAAATTCTCAAATTCCCCAACTTTCCCAATTTCTATTTTCTGCTAAATACCCAAACACCTACATCTCCAACTTCTTAGATCCCGAAATCCCTGGGTTCCTAGATTCCAACATCCCTAAATCCCTAGACACCGAAACTCCTAAATCGCCAAATTCCTAGATTCCCAAAATCCCTAAATTTCCGTATCTATAAATCCTTAAATCCCATTATTCAATAATCAGAAATAATAAATTTCAATAGTTAAAGAACGTAGTACACACATTAATATTAGATCATTTGTGACTTTTCATCGATTGAATAACAAAGCATTACTATGCATTATAAATATAAAGAATTAAAACTTTTTACGGTTTATGATGTGTATAGAAGACGCCCAATTTCTTGTACTATGATTTATATATTAGGTACGTCAGTCAGAACCAAGTAATCACAGCTGCAATATTACAACAGTTAAACAAAATTGAAATCTTATGTCAATGTCGTATTACATAATCGTTAACTATGCAAATTATAATTGTACTTGAACTCCAAATTGAAGCGCACTAAAAATTTGAGTAAAATTGATTGCAGCTGAAGTACGAATGCGTCGCGAGTCAAACTGACTAAATAATGCAAGAGTTTAAAGAATGAGTTTATTTAAGGCAAACTACAATTTGCACGTAATCCAAAGAAGCAGTTGTGTTTTACCTATTAGTATATATTTATTGTTATTATTATTTATTATATTTTGTTGTTATTAATTATTGTAATTCATTATTGCTATGTATTATAATTTATTGTTATTATTTATTCTTATCATTTGTTATTTTGTTGTTATTAATTATTATAATTTATTATTGCTATGTATTATGATTTATTGTTATTAATGATTATTATTATTTGTTATTTTGTTGTTATTAATTATTATAATTTATTATTGCTATGTATTATAATTTATTGTTATTAATAATTGTTATTATTTATTATATTTTGTTGTTATTAATTATTACAATTTATTATTGCTATGTATTATAATTTATTGTTATTATTTATTCTTATCATTTGTTATTTTGTTGTTATTAATTATTATAATTTATTATTGCTACGTATTATAATTTGTTATTATTATTTATAATGATTTATATTTATGAAAAAAATGTAACTTAAAAAGAAGAATTCGAAAATGAACAGTGTCATTCATAAATAAACTCAATGCAAACCGAAATTTATTTTTTTATTTATTGTGGAATAAAAAATGTTCCGAAAACTTTTCCACACCACTTTTCGGATAAAAATGTATTATATCGAATAATGGAGTCTCCTTTTCTTTCAGTGCCATTTTCTTTATGGAAGTCTAACATGCTATAGTGTACTATGATTCCTGTTATTGTTATTATTCCATATTGTTAGGAATTCAGTGCACCATTATGGTTTTTGTGCCGATAACACAATGTATAGTACTTTGATACTGACATTTATTTGATATTCGAGCATATAATAGCTCCACTGATGGTCTCGAACTTTTGTTCTATAAATCCATTATCATTTTCTGAGGCAGCTATGTTAGACTGAAAGAGGAAATCCGAAACTTATTATGTAGATCCTTAAATGTTCATTTTACCGAAGAACTCTTTGTAATGAAATGTGGGCTATCACATTATTTACTCGTATCAGATATTTTTCTTGGTATTCATCTTTTGTTCCAATCGTTATAAGGGTGATATATTCGATGATATTATTTTCAGATTATTAAGTCCCAAATGTAGATTATTATTCCTTCAAATAATCGCTATAACAATTATTTTAAAACTAAAGTAGTAGACTTAATTTATTTAGTTTAGTTTCTGTTGTTTTCACTGTGAAAGTATTAAGTTGTTAATTTTGAGACAAAATTCAGTTTTTCTTATTGCTAACTGAACATTTATATTTTGGAAAAAATTCAGTAACATCTCAGTTCCATTTATTTTATTCTAAGCGAAACTCAAATAATTTACTTAAATTAAGTCGTTTAAATTATATGTTAGCAAAAAAAGTATTTAAAAAATTAGTGTACTAAAAATTTATTTAAAAAATTATTATATTAAAAATTTATATAAAATCATGTACAATAACCAACACTCTCTTAAATGTTACGCTCAGTTAAATACGCAATTAGTATTTCAAATAACATCTGTCCAAGTAAGATAATACATTATTCAGATAATCATTTTTGAATGATATTTGAATACCTAAGAGGGAGTAAGAATATCAACGCTAATAAATTCGTTGGTACAATTTGTTTTTTCCGTATCGCAAAGTACATAAATTATGCGAAAGGAAGTAAGTAGAATTACCATTTTTCCAGTAACCCTTTGAATCAACCGAGCATACATCCTGTAACCCTTGCACCGTCTTCTTTGCTCGAGTAATTAATTCCTTATCCTTTCAACTGCATACAACGAATTCCTTACAAAAACAACCTTTTGTGATCACCGGTTTGATAAAACATAAAAGCGCCATTCTGACGCATTAAATGAACACCCAGACATTTTTCCTTACATTCCTTCAAGTACATATTCTTTTAAAAATCTCCGATGTTTTTAGAGTAATAGTTTAATATAAAAACCACTATGTGTTTTGTATTTTTTCCTAATCGAACTGTTTACAAAAATAGTTAGGTTAGGTTAGGTTAGGTTAAATTAGGATCATTTTTTTCGGTATTTTAAGAAATAAAAATTTCCAATTTATCTGTAATTGCAATTTATTCTAAATATTTTAATAATTAAACGAAACACAATTGCATTGAATTGTTGAAACATTTGAGAGGAAACTTTCAAGCAACACATTTACCTCGTTCCACGATCCTTATATCAATTTCTCCATGACGATCGGTTTTAATTTACGATTATTCACGCGCATGTGTCTCTCGCTCGCTACTTTCTCAAAAGGTTCTCGATTTGAAAAACAAGCCAAAGGCACGATGTCGTTATCAGTAAAGTGATATTGCGCATTGACGATACGTGGCTATCGATTTCCTGTCGTGAAACGTTCATGGCAAGTACCTCGGGTTATTACCTGTAGGTGGAAATAACGAAAAGTGTTTGGTCATTAAGATATCGACAATCTCGACATCGACATAATCGATCGAAATCGTTCATGAATCATTTTCGTGATCAGCTCAGTCGAATTAATAAAGAAAATTAAGATAGGGAAATTAATAAAATGATGAAAAGTCCATGATAATTGCATGATATAAAAGTATGCTAAAATGACTGCAATAAGTTCTCATTAATATTATTAATATAAAATGACCTGTTATCGGCTGTAACAAACAGCTGTTGTGTTATATATCAATCATTTGACTTTAGAATATAAAATATCTGAGACGATTCATTGACATTAAAATATTACAAGATTTTTAATAAATGAATTAATATTGATCAATATTTTGCTTAACAATTCTATTTTCCTATCGATGACTGATCTAATTGGAAACTTTATATCAGTGAAATTTTGAAAAAATTTCTTTTATTTTCAGATAAACGTTGCCATAAAGAAATCACTGAGACGTATGCCACAAAGTATCCAGATTACACATTTCTTCGAACAAAAGTTGATCCTGAAGTGTTTCGAAGCAAGCAAACATTCTGTGTTGAAATTAAACCAAAACAGGGATATCTGAGGGACATTGACTGGAAATTTCAAAAATGTCCTTATTGTCTAACACAGTATCACAAGGTAATATTATTATTCCTTACATTAATTATATTTAATTAATCTTATTATTAATCTCTTTTGTAATGATTTATGACTTATATTACTTTATGATTTTCTATAATTTCAGCTCAAAAAGAAGGTCATTACAGCTCGCAGTACTTATTGTCCATTTGATCTTTTTTCTGGAGTGCAGGAACGCATGAAGTCTGCACTAGAAGGATTACTAAAATCACCACAAAACAATTTAAAAATTTTTAAGGATGGCATTATTGTTTATGATCAAGAATCATCTTTCAATAACCTTGAATGTGTTTTGTCTGAATGGTTTCATAATTCTGCAACAAATGCAAACAAAGATTACATCAACGTGTTTTGTGATTTACTATGCACTGCTCTCTTACACTCATTTTCTGCAGCAGATTTGAGATTAAACCCTTCTACGTATGAATTATATTCATCTATCGAACAAGACTTAAAATCAACCTCGCATATTAATTCAGACATATTTGCGAAAGCTAAGAAACTTTTGTATTTCACTGGAGAGGTAAGTTTTGATTGTGATTAAAAATAATATAGTGTTTATTTTAAGATATTTCATAAATATGGTTTTTATGGTATTAAATTTTACAGGCTTGCAATACAAAGGGCATAACATTGCCAACGAATTCGGTGCTAGAAAGAATTCTTCGTATGCAAAGAGTACCATTTATTAGCTCAGAATACGTTTATAATACGTATCTTAAATTTCGTTCATTGGTAACCAATGATATAATATATTCTAATTTATTAGAGACATATAAGTTTAATGAGAATTGGATATATTTTTGCAATCAAAAAGTAAGTAGGTTTTCATATACATCAGACTATTCAAGAGTGGTTTTTCTTAATATTGTAATCATCTTTCTACATATTTCAGAATACTACGGTAGAAAATTTAGAAATGTTAAAAACATGTGCCAAAGATGCTTCAATTTCAAATGAATCGAAATTTGCTGATGATAATAACAGCAACAAGCATATTAATTCAGAACCGATATGGTTTAAGAATAAAAAGCCAGATGAAAATGTTCGTCTTATATCAAAATCAAATTTACTTCCAATTCAATGTGAAAAGAATAACATGTTTTATCGTAAATCTAACATAATGCACAATGGAGATAATAAGCATTATAATAATGAAAAAGAAACACATTTAATAAATAGTGAAAGCATATTATGCTTACAGAATTATCTTCTATTTTCATGTGCCAGAGATTGCTCAATATTAATAGCCTTTCAAGAATTGCATCCGTAAGTTACTAAAAGTTTGTTTGACGATTTGTTTTTAATTAGTTTATTTAACTAATAATTGGGTATTTCTTTTAGGGATGCAGTATCATTTGTTCCTGACGAATATGTATTACAACTTTCCAATGGACTCAGCTTTATTTGTAATATTGGGATTTCAGATTTAGATCCAAAAAGTCTTCAATGCATCGAAAAACACCGCCAGCGAGACATCGATGTCTTAAATTCAGTAGTTTCTGTTCTCGAGGAAGAACTTATGATTCAAAATCAGTTATCAACCGAAACTCAATCCTTGCTATAGGTATTATATATACTTTAAGTAACGTTAAAAGGTTTTTACTGTGTACTGATTTTATATTTTATATTTTTTGACGAACATGAGTTATGTTTGAATTTCTGACAGAATGAAGTGTATCATACTTTTGAATGATTTGCAATTATATTTATTAATCCATTATGACTAGTTAAAATTGGTTCGTTAAAATATTATACACAAACACTTAAAAATTATACAGGGTATTATGTATCTGATGATACAATAGGATAAGTTAAAATTCAATTGAGAAAATGAAATACTGTGATCCTATTTTGCTCTCTGTGGCTATCCCTCTTCTCTATGATATCTCTTTTCTTGTGTTTTGAGGTATTTTCAGTCTTTCTGCCACTTCTAATTTTCGTTACGATACATCTAAGTTCTCTCTTGCTCTCCCTGATTCTTTATAATTCTTTCTGTCTCTCCATAGTTCTCCTTGAGCTCCGTGGCATTACCAGTCGTATTGGCACTCCCAATTCTCTGAAAAACCTAATTGGATACTTCCTGGTTCTTCTTGGTTTTCCGTAGTTTCGATATTATGAAAAGTGAAATACTGTGATCCTGTATAATTTCATAAGTAAACAATGAACGAACAAATTGTAGAATATCATACACGTTTTATGACATATTATAAAATTGGCAATTGTATATATATATACATAAATTCGTATATGAACATTAAAATTGTATCATATTTATATTTAAAACGAAAAAGGAAATTAATTATTTCAAAAATGTATATTATATATGTGCGAAATAATTATTTTAATGAATTTTCATTTTAAATTATGTTATACTGTGTGTGTATACAGATTCGAGTATGCGCATAAAGTATGAAAGAGTTTTACTATTATTTAAGTAATGTCTTTAAAGATGTTTATGTTTAATGAAAGATGTGTGTTCATATCAAATGAGTAATATTTATGCAAGTATCAAATTAATTTATCGTATAAATATAAATGAATTTAGATATCATGAATTCTGTTTAAATACTATGATGGATATTACAGTATTGTGATTTTAATAAAGATGATTTACATGTTAACAAGTTTATTTAATTCAAAAAATTTCAAGGTATATGAATATGGAAGTCCATAAAATTAAAAATGTATTATAATTTTAGATTGCCAAAGTAACTAAAATTAAAATAGATAACCTATATATGTGGTGTCCAAGTTCAGGTTCATGAAACTTCAAGATCTTACAGATTGTAGATTACAAGAAATCACATTTTAAACAAAACAAATTGAATAAATATAAGTCGAGAAATACTTAATTAAAATGTTGTACTTAAAAAACTTTAAAATATGTACTTAAACTATTACCTTTAATTTTTAATGCATTTTTGACATTAAGGTAATATTGACCCGCTGCATTGTACCTTTTTTAATTATATATTTTATGTAAATATTTCCAGACATATACTTACTAAAGTCTGTTTGTCTAAAACGTTATTTTTTGTATTACTTTCAAGTTTCATGAACCTGAACTAAGATACCCCATATATACAATCAATTTAAGGTTATGTTTCACAATGCTAGTGTAATTAAATGTTTCCGAAAGTTATATTACAAAAATATTAAAAAATTTTGTTTATCATTTTAATTGCTAAACCATTAAAAGAATCATTTTTGTTTTTACAAAAGCAAATTTCGGTGGACTATAAATAATACATATACTATCATGATCAATTTGGAATTATATTTCATGAAGTATGTATCATATTACATTTTTAACATTAATACGAAAGACATTATTTTTACTTATTTATCAAAAATTTGTTCCATCGTAAATGTTAAAACGTTTAACACGGTTTATTTTACTTTTTATAAAGTCATTTACCATTTACGATAAATTACACGTATAAAACGATTACAGAAATGATATATAATATATTTATGGCATGTTATGAATGTATTTATGACATAATGTAAAATGAACATAATGCTAGTCAATAAGTGTGTTTGAATTTCTTTTGCATTCTTATATTCTGTTCAACAAGAGATCATATCCTATTCGCGCAACTCGACTAACTTCAGTAAATTCCCCACCATTTGATATTTTCCCACTATCATTCGTTTCCTACTTCACTGGTCATATACATGGTGGACAGAACATATAAGTAGTAAGGATAGATATAGATTAGGCATAAACAAATTTGCAAATTTTTTAATTTAGGGATCTGGAAACTTGGGAATCCGCGGACTTACAGATTTGAAAATCTGGAAATTTTGCTATATAAAAATGTGAAATTTTGGAAATTAAAAAATTTCAGAATTTAGAAATTTAAACATTTGAGGATTTCTGGTCTTGACAATTTAGAACTTTCGTTGTTTTAAAGTTTGTAGTTTTGAAAATTAAAATATTAGGAATATGAAAATTTAAAAATTAGAAATTTATGAATTTAAGAATTCTGGTTTTTGGAAATTCAAAAATTTGAAAATTTGGATCACCAAGTATGCAAGCTGAATGTCAAAAACATCATAAGTGCGCATGCGCGTTGCGAAGCGTACTCGACCAATCAAAGCTGCCTTGCGCAGAACGGACGAAATCTCGTCGCGTGATGAATATGATCTCTTTTCAAACAGAGTATAAGTGTAATATGATAAAATTGGTTAGCATGAAACGAATATCGAACAGGTTCACTCGGTATCGTTTCCATCCACGAAGATCTTCGCCCCAATCCCCGCTGTAATTCTTGTTGGCTCTGTCACCGCGCCCCTCCCCAACGGAAGAGAAAGACCGAGCCGTCGCGGCACTCTCTCGGGCAGTCGACGTTCGTAAATGGCGACGCACCGATGTCGAGTGTTCGTAGCGAATTGGTGAATCGTCGTACGTGATGACGGCTCGTTACTGAACCTCGGACGGCGATGGGCACGCAAAAGCCGGAAGAATGGGCGAATTTACTGATCACGCGTTTCGAGGAACAGGTACATCCCATCTGTGACTCGGACTATAAAATCTGTTTTACCTTTCCTTTCTCGTCCCATCCGCTTTCCTTCTCCGTGGCCGCCCCTCTCTCTTTCTTACCTACCTCTTCCGGTGCTTTCTCTCATTCTTTCTTGTTCCCTTCCTGTATTTACTTTTCATTCTATTCTTTCTTCGTTTCGTTCTCTTTTTTCGGCCCTTTGGTTTGCCTCCTCTTTCGTTGTTATTCATCTCACTGCTTCTCCTTACGTTTCTCGTAAGGACGAGACTATACTTAACATTAGATACATTTTATATGCACACCCAGAAAAGCCGGCAACTAAACTGGAATTAAGATCATTGTGTGACACAGTTTCTGTGTGGTGAAACAAGCGTGAAAATTTTGATCAGTGAGAACGTAAAGTGAGGAGGTGACATGAGTACGTTTGAACACGTAACTTTGACAGTAGTTAGTTCTTTTCTAAGCTGAATCCTGTAGCAGTTTTCTATTTGAGACAATCGACGCTTTTCGTGTCAGTAAAGTGTGTACAATTTATCCGTTTAAATTTTCTGTCAAAGTCTTATTTATGCCTGACTTTTCTCGGTTTCTTTTTAGGGAAACATACTTACCGTTTCTACTTCAACCCTGTAAGATTTGTATGAAGTAAATTTTGAATGACGCAATGGCTTTGAATCAATTATCGTTAAATTCTATTTATCGTATAAAATTTGTGCATTATTTCTAAGATTGTGGGTGTAGTCATTAACGGTTGATATCGTTGCTCCCGTGAATGTACCGTCATTCGTTTATTCGTTGATTCGTTCATTCATGGGAAGATGCTTTCTCGCGGTCTCCTCCCTCTACACGCCGTGGACTCCACGGTTTGACCTTCGCCCCTTCTTCCTTTCCTCTCTGTCCCGATAGCTATTCAGTTAAGGTGTATACAGGGTGTTCCAAATTCTATGAGTTCTAATAATTTTTTAAAATTTTATTTTGCCTTTAAATTATAACTAATGTAATTAAATTAACAATTTCGTAAAGAATTATACAGACATTTAAACAATTTTTTAAAGTATCATAAAAATTTAAAGGTCTAATTTTAAACTTCGATTTTAATTATTCATGATCATAACCATTCTTACAGCATTGAAGAGAAAGACAAACAATAGTATATAAAAATAGTAAAAATTATTCTTAACATCAAAATCAAATTGAAATCGAGCAAGAATTGAATTAAAGTAATATAGAAATTAAAATCATTCGGAATTGAAGTCGAAATCGAGTAAAAATTGAATTTAAATAAAATGAAGATAAAATAAAAATCAAGAACAAATTAAAATCAAGTGGAAATCAAATAAAAGTCAGTCGACTTGGAATTGGATAGTAACCGAATTAAAATCGAATAATAAACAAGTCGAAATTGGAACCGAATAGAAATAAAACTTATTAAAATCAATTTGGTGTTGTCACTAGGTATATAAAAAGTATAGTAATAATAACTTTCTTTCTAATAAATTAATTAATCAAAATCGAAATTAAATTGACATCATTGAAATTACCTTTCAAAAGTTATTTATCATTTTAATAATATTGCCAAAACGCATAATTTATTATGTAATGAAATATATTTTATAGAAAAAAAAGGAAGTTCAGAAATGAGTTATTGAGATACCCTGTAGAATTTCATTCCTCGTCCCGTAACCCCTCTGTACCCACACAACGTCGCTTCCGTCGTGTCACGGATACATGAATGGAAATTGCATTCACTTCACGCACGGCTTATCGAAGAATTCAAATCTATGGTATATACACTTCAATGCGTTCAAATGCGTCCAAACGCGATTACACGTACATGCATGTAACTTTCGAGTTTTGTCAAAGGCATATGTCATTGTAAACGTGTCTTCGATCGGTCAATATATTAGTCTATCGAAAAGTTTTGTCTACACACAAATGGTATCTGCTGGTATAATACTCATTGTGGACATTTATACACAAACCGTAATTGATAAATGTAATAAAATATTATTTGTTCAATAGCAATCAACTATTCACTTATTAGTGTTTAAGTCAAAATAGGATTTTTTATTTAAATATTTTATAGAGTGTAATCATCTTTGAACTATCATCTTGAATGACACTCATTTCCCTAACTTAAATCTTTACCTTCAAATTTTCAAACCATTATCAGTTTGTAACTTCTGATATCTTCTAAATGAAACAATACAGATTTTGTTTTGAAATTATTTTACTATGATTGTGTCTATTTATTGCACCTGTATAAGTCATGATGCCCATTTTGTAATAAATATATTTTCTTAACCATCTCATATCATAAGAAAAATTATTGTATCATACTCTATCGTATTTTAATTTCAGTGTTTATTTCTATTACCTATTAATCTATAAATTTAATGGATTTTCTTTCTAAACAATAAATGAACAATTTTTTAACTAGAATTTGGAAAGAACACAGTGACATAAATAGATTTTGTCAATGGACATATTTGTTCTACTATCATTTATAACAAATTATTTAATTGATCACAAAACTTTTTATCATTGTTTATCATTGATTTATATCATATTTTAAAGTGAAAAATCTTAATGGCCACATAATGAGTAGAACTTCCTAACAGATATAATACATGCATACAACTACAAAGTGTAACATACCTTAATAAATATTTTGTTGTTATTCTAATTTGTTACAGTTATATTTTAGGAACTATTTAATTTATATTTTTTCGATAAGCCGTAGCAGTGATAATTGCTGCTCCATAATTAAAATAGGAAAATTAATATTTTTTCTTTTTTGTTCAAAATTTAAAATTTCAAGGAGAAAATTTATTCATCAATATGTATGTTAATATATGTATATTACATATATCTCATGCTATAATTTACAGATAAAAATGTACAGATGTAGAATACCAAACTAATTAATTTATTATATTTTCTATATCTTAATCTTCCAATTATTAAAATTATGTGGTATCATTAAAAAAAATGATTTCTTTCTGTACAGTTGCCGTGTCACAGTGGTCCTCAGACCACCCATTCTCGTATGAACGAAGAGAGGAACAAAAAATGCCTAATACAAATCTCTCAATATCGTTTCTCTCTTGTAATATCCAGTCTAACAAAAATACTTCAAGGCGTTAATGAAATGGTGCCATGTATTGGGGGTCAACGTATATTTCATAGCACAGATCATGATCGGCATTGCTATGAATCTGTTATTATTATCTTAGACACCTTGGAAAAGTGTCTTGCAAATCAACCAAAAGACACAGTTAAATTTGACGAGACTATGAATGTAAAGTTTCTGCTTAAAGAAATTTGCCAGTTTATAGGTAATAAGATTGTAATTAGTTTAATGCTAATTGTATTAAACAAAAATTTAACACGTAAATAACTTTCAGATATACCAAATGATATACCCCAAAATGCTCACTTACGTAATTTGGCAAGTAAAGTTTTGTTTGCACTGAGCTTGAACTTTTTCAATGCTGTGTTTAATAGAATATCATCCAGGCTTCAAGAGCTAGCAAAATGTGGTGATGAAAATGCTGATTATAGTGATATTGAATTAATTCAACATATTAATGTGGATGTTTATAGATTGACGAGACTTTTAAATGGTAATTTCATTAATTATTTAATCATTTCACTGTTATGCATGTTATAATAATAATTATTATTATTATTACAGAAACGATACAAAAATTCAAACAACTCAAAAAATCTGCACACATAGTTCTTATGAACTCTTTAGAAAAAGCAATTTGGAATTGGATGGATACTTACCCTCATGAATTTGCTGATCTACAAAAGAAGCCTAATGAAGATCTTGCAAAAGTATGTGAAGAATTATTTGACATCCTTGATACATTTGCAGACAATAAAAAAGGAAGAACTGCAGCTGTTTGGCCTTTGCAAATTATGCTACTGATACTTTCACCAAAAGTACTGGAGGAAATAGTTAATGCTGATTTTGGTGCTCCTTGTTCACCAAAACATTCAAAGAAAAAGCAATTTATTGATAGTGTCAAACGAGGCCTAGGAATGCATGGCAGTTCTAGTAGACAACTAGTGGAAGCTGCCGCAGTCACTTGTATTAAACTTTGTAAAGCATCAACCTATGTAAACAACCAGGATTCGAATAATGTTATCTTCATGCTTGTTCAACATGTAATGAATGATTTAATGGCACTACTTTTTAATCCAGGAAAATTATTTTCTCGTGGTCAAAGCTACGTTGCACAAGACATCGACCTAATGATAGACTGTTTTGTTAGCTGTTTTCGCATTAAACCTCACAACAACGAAGTACTTAAAGTCTGCTTGAACCTGAATTTTCCATCGACGTACCAGTTTGTCTTGGTTAGCTCATTATACAAGTAAGAGAAACTTTCCACTGTAATTGGAAATATTACAATTTACTTCGATAATATCGGGGCATATTAATTTCAAAAAAATTTCTTATTTTAGAATTGTAACTCAACCAAGACTGCCATGGTGGCCTCAAATAGATCTTCTGTATTCTCGTAGTGCAGAACTTAGGAATATGTTTACTGATATTTTAAATAAAGTCACACAGAGTTACATATCACACACACCATTGCGAATGATTCAAAGTTTAACGCTCAAAGGTAAAGAACAAAACAAATACAGAGATCGTGGAGAAGATGTATCAAGTTACAGAAATCTGTTGTTATGGATGGTGAAACTTATTCATGCTGATCCTATGCTGCTGTTGAATGTGAGTGCTTTACTTCAAAAGATTTATTATATTCTAACTAATAACATTGTATGCATCATATGAATTTTTTTTTTATCTAATAGAACCAAGGAAAAGCTGGCCATGAAATACAAAGTTCTACATTGGAATTAATTAATGGTTTAGTTTCTTTAGTTCATCAACCAACAATGCCAGACATTGCTTATGAAGCAATGGAAGCATTACTTGTGTTGCATCATCCAGATAAAATAAAAGCATGGAATCCAGAAGCACCAATTAATACCTTTTGGGACGTTAGTTCGCAAGTTCTCTTCTCGATTTCTCAAAAATTAATTCAACATCAGATCGTGAATTATACTTGTATATTGAAGTGGTTGAGAGAGATACTAATTTGTAGAAACGCTTTTCTGGCACAAAATAAGGATTATGCTAATGTGGGTAGTCAGATTGCAATTTGTAAGCAAGCACATATTAAACTCGAGGTTGGTTTGATTATGAACTTAATATTCACTTCATTTTAGATGAATCATAATAAATTTACTATTTTTTATTTTTCAGGTTGTATTTTTCATGTACTTGTGGAGTATAAACATGGAGGCTGTTCTAGTGTCAATGTCTTGTTTTGCGTTGCTCTGTGAGGAAGCAGAAATTCGTTGTGGTAGTGATGAAGTAGCAGTAACTTGTTTACTTCCTAACTATCACTTATATCTTGAATTGGCGCAAGCTTCTACTGTGTTAATCACTGGTGAGTTTAGATATTTAAATACTTAGAATATTATTATATCAATTCATTTTTTATATAAAGTCTCCTACTTTCCAAATTAGAAGCAGAAATTCGAATCGACAAATCAAAACTAAAATTATGATATCGTTTACATGTGAAATATAATTTTTGTATCTGAATTCATTTGTAATATATATTTTTAAAAATGGTAATTATGTTTAAAAGAATTAAAATTTCGTAAGTATATCATTTTAATTGCTATGGATATCACGAGTTATATTAAGTATATTTAAGTGTATTTAATTTTATATTAGATAAGACTATATTTATTCATATTAAATTAGGTAAGATCTATTCACATTAGATGCAATCCTGTTAATTCAGATTAAGTTTATATCATTTACTATACTAGGTTTTGCAGTAACTACTCATACAGCAGGATATTTGTCATAATAGAAAAATATATATAAAATAATAGGTCTACTCAAAAACTAATTGCTTGTTGCTATATTTTTGTATAGTTGGTTTAGTTGCCATATTTTTATTGCAAAGTATTCAGCATAACTCGAAGTATCTATAGCAATCAAAATATATACTTGTGGAAACGAATCCTTTTTGTGCATAACTACCTCAAGATTATATATATGAACAAAATTTTTATAAAATAAATAATTTATTAGTATTGTTGTTTACTAAATATAATTTTAAATTAGTTTCGATTCGGGTATCTACTGAAAATGTTTTTATTTGAATTCAAACATTCGTTCCTGAATTTTTGAATTCACTTTGTATTTTGATTAGTATAACCCTTATATGGCTGCAGTAGAGTATTAAAGACCTTGTTACCATAACAGCCAGCGGAGAAAGTAAGATATATAATTATGGTAAGTGTTATTCAAAATTTACATACATATATTATTAAAGTTAACGTCGTTTTATTCCTGTTTCTTTATTCGAAATAGAATATTTAATGCATCACCATTTATCAAACATTAATACATTAAATAAGTATATTGTATATTTTTTAGGACGAGCCGCTTTGCAAAAAAGAATTATGGCCTTATTAAGGAAGATAGAACATTGCGTAAATGGTGTACAGCCTGTATGTTATCATGCATATAATAAATATGTATAGTACATATATTATTCTATATATGACATACAATGTTTTCTGTTATCAGGCTTGGGAGGAAACATGTAAAAATTGGGAAGCAACTTCTGAACAGTTAGTGAATTATCCTAAATCTAAAATTGAAGATGGTCAGATGGAATCATTTCATCGAAGTACAGCAAAGCGAAGAGCATCACATCAAAATTCAGAACATGAATTGGAAGAGCAAATTAATGAGTGGGCCAACATGACTGGATTTCTTTGTGCATTAGGGGGAGTATGTTTACAGAAACGTTCCTTGAATAGACCATTATCAGGAATACCTCAAAATACAGATTCCAAAAAAGGTTTAAAACAAGAACCTGCGTCTTGTTTATCAAATCCAAGCCAGGAAGTACAACATTGCACACAATTTGTTTATAGTTTGCTACGTTTGTTAATTTGTAACAATGAGAAGTTTGGAAGTCAAATTCAGGAACATGTTAAAGAATTGGTTGGCCATGAAATGAGTCCAGCATTGTATCCTATACTTTTTGATCAGATTAAAAGCATAGTTGAAAAATTCTTTGATCAACAAGGACAAGTTATAGTAACTGGTGTTAACACAAAATTTATCGAACACATAATATTCATAATGAAGAATATCTTGGATTCTAAGACGGATCAACCTTCCGAGTATCTTGGAATGACGAGCATAGAAGGGATGATGTTGGCGATTGTCAGATATGTTAGACATTTGGATATGACAGTCCGCTCTATACAAATCAAGACAAAATTGTGTCAGCTTGTTGAAGCGATGATGAAACGACGAGATGATTTAGCCTTTCGACAAGAAATGAAATTCAGGAATAAACTTGTTGAATATTTAACAGATTGGGTAATGGGTGCTACTCATAACCGGTGAATAATATTTTTATAAAATACATTTATATAATTATCATTGCTCTTTGTATCTTTTAAGCATGCTTACTTTATCTAATGTTACAGTGACTTGGATCAGGCTTGTATGGAAGCAGTTGGTGCATTACTACGAGGTTTACCTCTTCAACCTGAAGAATCTGACCGTGGTGATTTAATGGAAGCCAAATCTCAACTATTTCTTAAATATTTTACGCTTTTCATGAATCTGTTAAACCACTGCAATGAAGCAGCTGGCGAGGAAAAAGAAATTATGTCCCAGCAATCTTGTTTAAACAGTGGCAAATTGTCTACCTTACATAATGCTACTATACAAGCAATGAGTAACCTTCTCAGCGCAAACATTGATAGTGGTTTAAGACATTCGTTACGTAAGTGAAACAATATATTAGTTTTCAAACTTTAGAGATTTTACATTCATTATATTTTGTTTTAATTAATACAGGATTGGGTTATGACCCGGATCTACAAACACGCGCAGCATTCATGGAAGTCCTCACTAAAATTCTTCAGCAGGGAACGGAATTTGATACTCTAGCAGAAACTGTGTTGGCTGATAGGTTTGAACAATTGGTTCAACTTGTTACAATGATCAGCGACAAAGGAGAGTTACCTATTGCAATGGCTCTGGCTAATGTAGTTACAACAAATCAAATGGATGAATTGGCAAGAGTTTTCGTGACATTATTTGATGCGAAACACTTGTTATCTCCCCTTTTATGGAATATGTTTTATCGTGAAGTGGAAGTTTCTGACTGTATGCAAACATTATTTAGAGGAAACAGTCTTGGAAGCAAAATTATGGCATTCTGTTTCAAAATTTATGGCGCAAGTTACTTACAAAATTTATTGGAGCCTTTAATCACACCTTTATTGGACGATCCTACTACAGGTTTTGAAGTTGATAGTGCAAGGATAGATGCTAATGAAAATATAGAACAAAATGGTCGCAATTTAATAGCATTGACCCAAAAGGTATTCGATGCAATAGTATCATCTGCTGATAGTTTTCCATCACAATTACGATCCATGTGTCATTGTTTGTACCAAGTACTCAGTAAAAGATTTCCACAATGTCCACAGAATAACATTGGAGCTGTAGGGACTGTAATATTCTTGCGGTTCATCAATCCAGCAATTGTGTCACCTCAAGAAATGGGTATTGTTAATAAATCTGTACCCCATCATATTAAAAGAGGTTTGATGCTGATGTCTAAAATACTACAGAATATTGCAAATCACGTGGAATTTAGTAAAGAACAGCACATGTTACCTTTCAATGATTTTCTACGAGCACATTTTGAAATTGGAAGGAGATTTTTCATACAAATAGCATCGGATTGCGAAACGGTCGATCAAGCCAACCATCCAATGTCGTTTGTATCAGATGGTAACGTTTTAGCGTTGCACAGACTGCTTTGGAACCACCAAGAAAAAATTGGCGATTATCTCAGCAGCAGTAGGGACCATAAAGCAGTAGGGAGAAGGCCTTTCGACAAAATGGCTACGTTGTTAGCATATCTTGGCCCCCCAGAACATAAACCAGTGGATTCACATTTGCTGTTCTCCTCCTCTTATGCTAGGTGGTCAAACATCGACATGTGTTCGACCTATTTCGAGGAAATTATGGTGAAACACAATATGCATGAAAATGAAGAATTTAAAAGTATCAAAAATCTCAATATTTTTTACCAAGCAGGTACCAGCAAACAAGGATATCCGGTGTTCTATTATATCGCCAGACGTTATAAGATTGGTGACACGAACGGTGATCTGTTGATATACCACGTTATTCTAACTCTAAAGCCATTTTGTCATTCTCCGTTTGAATTGGTTGTCGATTTCACCCATACCTGTTCAGACAATCGATTCAGGACAGAATTTCTACAGAAATGGTTTTACGTGTTGCCTAAAGTTGCCTATGAAAACATTCATGCGGCCTATATTTATAATTGCAACAGTTGGGTGAGAGAGTATACCAAGTTTCATGATAGAATTTTGGCACCCTTGAAAAGTAATAGAAAGGTTGTCTTCATTGATGGACCTGGACGTTTGAATGACATGATTGATGTGGATCAACAAAAATTACCCGGAGCCACACTCTCCCTTGACGAAGACTTGAAGGTTTTTAACAGTGCTTTGAAACTTTCTCATAAGGACACCAAGGTATCCATTAAAGTTGGACCAACAGCTATACAAATTACCTCGGCGGAGAAATGCAAAGTATTATCGCATTCCGTTCTTTTAAATGATGTTTATTACGCGTCTGAGATAGAAGAAGTTTGTTTAGTAGATGACAATCAATTTACATTGACCATTTCGAACGAAACTGGCCCATTATCTTTTATTCACAATGACTGTGATAGTTTGGTGCAGGCTATAATTCATATAAGAAATCGATGGGAATTATCACAGCCAGAGTCTGTGTCTGTTCATCCAAAGCTTAGATCTAAAGATGTACCTGGGACACTATTGAACATGGCATTGTTGAATCTTGGTAGTTCAGATCCAAATTTAAGAACAGCAGCATACAATCAACTGTGTGCTTTGACTGCGACTTTTGATTTGAAAATAGAAGGACAACTGTTAGAAACATCTGGACTTTGCATTCCATCGAACAATACTATATTCATTAAACATTTAAGCGAAACTTTGGCTGCAAATGATCCACATCTTACATTGGAATTTTTGAAAGAATGTATCGAAGGATTCAAATTGTCAAGCATCGAATTGAAACATCTCTGTTTAGAATACATGACACCATGGTTAAATAATCTCGTACGGTTTTATAAGCCAAATGACGAAGGCAAACGTCAAAAACAGGTTACAAATATTTTAGAAGAATTAATTACACTAACTATTGAAGAAGTGGAAATGTATCCAAGCATACAAGCAAAGATATGGAGCACAATTGGAAGATTACCTGATTTAATTGATACGGTTTTAGATAATTTCATTCAACGCAGCGTCAGTTTTGGACTTGGTTCCAGAAAAGTTGAAATAATGGCTGACACTGCTGTGGCTTTGGCTTCTGGGAATGTTCAACTGGTTGCAAAGAAAGTGATAGGAAGACTTTGTCGAGTTGTAGATAAAACTTGTACATCTCCGACACCGTTGTTAGAGCAACATACAAGATGGGATGATATCGCTATTTTGGCAAGATATTTATTGATGTTGTCTTTTAATAACTGTTTAGACGTGGGAAAACATCTGCCATATATATTTCATACAGTAACATTTCTAGTTTGTTCTGGAAGTCTGAGTATGCGTGCTTCCACACATGGTTTAGTTATTAACAGCATTCACTCGCTTTGCACTTGTAGTTCACCTTCTTTCTCAGAAGATACTTATAGAATACTGCGAATGAGTTTGGATGAATTTTCTCTTCCAAAATTTTATTTACTGTTTGGTATTAGTAAAGTGAAATCTGCTGCGGGTACAGCATTTAGGTCTAGCTATAAACACTCGAATGAGAAAGGGTTCAGTAACGAGCGCAGTATTACAGGAACACATGATAAAGAGAGACTTTTGTTAACCAGTTTAGAAATTATTACGGACGCTCTTCTTGAAATCATGGAAGCTTGTATGCGAGACATTCCAAATTGTGATTGGTTGAAAACCTGGACATCTTTGGCGAAGAATTTTGCTTTCTGTTTTAATCCAGCACTTCAACCAAGAGCTTTAATTGTTTTTGGATGCATAAGTAAAAGTATAACGGATCAAGATATGAAACAATTATTGAGGATATTGATAAAAGCGCTTGAGAGTTTCAATGATATCACTTTGCTTGAAGCAATCATTATGTGCCTCACCAGATTACAACCATTGCTTCGACCCGTAAGTTTTAATTCTTTATTTTTATACATTAAAAAGAATAATTTAAAAAACTATAAACTTTGTAGTATATCACTTATTTTAATATTTTTCAGGAATCTCCTATACATCGATATTTATTTTGGATTGCAACGTCAGTTCTCCAATTAGATGAAGCATCTTTGTATGCGTGTGGTTTAGCCTTACTTGAGCAAAATTTACATACTTTAGATTCGCAAGGAACTTTTGATGATAAGGTAGAAATTTATTTTTCTATAATTACAATCTTTGTTTTATTAATGTTTATTCTTTATTTGTTAATACACTTTATTAACGTTTTCTATTTTTATTAACTATTTCAATTTTCAGACTTTGGAACACGTTATGATAACTACGCGTGAACCTTTAGAATGGCATTTCAAACAATTAGATCAAGCTGTAGGACTTTCGTTTAAATCAAATTTTCATTTTGCACTGGTCGGTCATCTTTTAAAAGGATACAGACATCCTACACCAACTACTGTTACAAGAACAGCTAGAGTATTGACCATGTTGTTAGGTATTGTGGCTAAACCATTTAGAAGAGATAAATTTGAAGTAACACCAGAAAGCGTGGCCTATTTATCTGGTAAGTTTATATACAAATCTTGTTAAATAGATTGAAACTAATAATTTTTTATTCATATTAGCATTGGTATCTGTATCTGAAGAAGTGAGAAGTCGATGCCATATTAGACATGCAGCTACCAAGAATGCAGAATCTGGAAGTACAGACTGCCTTGACATTTTGCTTCCACATAATGCAGTAAATACTTTTAACAAGAAATATATTTAATAAGAAATATATAACGAACTAATTTTTATATTATTGTTCAGGATACAACTAGTTCAGCATCCAGTAATCCTACTAATCGCAGACAAAAGTCTTGGGATCTATTAGATCAGTCTGCACTCACTCAAGCTAGACAACAGAAACAATATTCAACTCATCAGGTATGTTTTATCTGTTATATGTATGTACGAACAATTCATGAAGACATCACATTATTTTTTTAACTACATATATTTATACAATACTTGTACCGTAGTTTTGAGCAAAAGCAGACTATCAACCATTGTTATAACGCAGTATGCAATATTTTTAATTTCGTATCATGTAACAAGCTATTGATAAATTTGTACTTGATTTTTATTGTTTGAACAAGGGGTTTTATTGCTAATTAATTATTTATTGTATTTATTTGCTTTGTACTTTTTTATTTATTTTTTATATTCAGTTATTATGATGGTACTGAATAAAAGCGATTAAAATATAATCGAAACATAGTAATGAATACTATATTATTAAGATACTGTTAATATTTCCAGTTATTTTATAGTATATTCCAAAAAAGAGAATTCAATTTTATACCGAGTAACATTGTTTGTTATCTTGTGTTTTTTTATGTACCTCTGTTTGCTCTTTCGATGTCTATGCTCGCAACTTTCTGCCTTGCCTGTGCCTGGATTGTATCAAATACAATGCAACTTGTCACTTATTGTACCATACTTCATCAATTTGCCCAAAAATGGCGATGTACGCGTCATTAACAAGACTGGACGGATTTTATTTAAAACGCAGCGATCATTTTCTGTACCAACTACGAAGGAAACGAAACCAACCGAAGAAACAGAATCAAAGGTATTTTATCTTCATTTTTTTCTTTGAGGAGATAAAAATCACTATTATTTTTAAATCGAACTTAAAATCTATATCCACATTAAAATTCTTATAATTTATATAGAATCGAAGCGCCAGAGTAAGCGTGAGCAATGAAAATAATATATTGCTCGATCCGGAAGTATTGACCGATTTTTCGACTCAGAGTTTGGTTTTGACTGTTCTGGTAACTTTAGTCAAGAATTCAACCGATGAAAATGAACAACGCATTCTTTATGAATACCTTGCAGAAGCTTCCGTAGTATTTCCAAAAGTTTTTCCAGTAATGTAAGCTTTTATTTTTTTGTTAAGATCTTTTTACGTATAGTATATACTAAAGCATGTTTTAAAAATAGCTATCAATAATTATAATTGTAATTGACAAAAGATATGTTCAATGTCAGTCTAAGGGATATAAATTTTGTTCACAGCCACAATTTGCTTGATGCAAAAATTAACAGTGTATTATCCTCCTGTCATGATCAAGGTATACTGAATTCAGTACAAGCAATTATACAGAACATAATTGCCTGTGAGGACACGAGTCAACAACAATTACATTATTTGCAAAGCTGTGGATTTGGTGGATTATGGAGATTTGCAGGCCCGTACACAAACGTAAGTAACCATATATAAATAATGAGTTGGATTAAAACAATCTAAAGCAACCAATGTATATCAATCAATATGAATTTTCTTACAGTCTAATTGTACAGCTGAAAGTGCTCAGTTATTTGTAAATTGCCTAAAAGCCATGGTAGAAACATGTTTACCAATTGATGAATTCGAAGGATCGAGTAGCAATGAAATTTCAAATGAGAGATGTAAACGAAACGATGTTCATCAACAAGAAGTTACAACAAGGAATAAAACTTCTGTATACGGAACTGATCGAACAAATGCTTTTACAGAAAAGAAAGATGATGCCCAACGAAGTACTGCTTCTTTCGCTTACAGAGAGTAAGTGAATTAATTGATCTAGATATTTCAAGTATTAGAAAAGTGCAATAAATATTTGATCCAGAAGTATAGCCTTAAAAATTCTGTGATATAATAACTCAAATAAACGAAATACAAGATACTGATAACGGTAGTAATTTTAGTCGCAGTATTGATAGCAGAGGAGATGTTTCGCTGAATTCTATGAGCCAAGGAGAAAACACTAGCAGTAGTAATAGTTTGCAACCTTAGCGATTAGCATGTGAACATAAGAAACAGTGTGGTAAACATGGGCGAAAAGGACAAGTTGGTCGGAAATTGCATCGGCAACTAAGGTATGTTCACTATGTAACGGCATATAATTTAATTGTTTAAACGATCATTACAGTTTGGAACTTTCATTTGTTTTAATTCAATCTTGTAGTTGTCTGTTATTGCAATAAAAAGAAGTGTGATATTTTCTTTCCAAATTATTCGTAATAAAGTAACAAGTTTCAAACTATAATTATTCAATTGATCATCATCCAATTAGTTAATGTATTTAAATAATACTGAAGGAACGGTAAATTGTCCTTTTTTAGAAATTAGATTTATTTTTATGTAAAAAAATTAATATCAGTTTAATGTACTATTTAGTATGGTTACATCCTTAATGTTGACCATGTTGAGGAAATTCAATACTTACAAATGATATTTATTTTGAATAACTTTACTGATTAATTATTTCATAGTGAAGTATATGAACAAAGTCTTTTAATTTCATGCACTAATTTGATGAAAAGAAGATGTTTATACTGTGATTTAAATTTTAATTATTACAATATTTGATTTTGTTAATCTAATTTATGTATATTTATATATCAAGGAACGCAAACATTTTGGCTCCGTGTTATTGCTGCAACATGTCGAATCAGTTTAATCCAATGCCGTCCACCTCACGTTAATGAACCCACTGGAATGGAAGCCAACAGAGAACCCTTCGTTGGTTGATACTTACTTTGTTTTTTTAACAGTATACATCAACGCTTACGTATCATTTTTGAATTTGCGTTCAATACAATGACTAATTATGAATTTGTGAATTTATGCAGCAAGGCGTTGTAGAATGAGGCACAAAGGCTTTTATTGAACCAGTGTTATTTCGTACGGATAATGTTTATAGAGCATGAGATTGTTTGAATCGTTTAAATAATTTTTATAGTTGATCAATGCAACTATATATAGTTCCAATGACTGGAACTGAATATTTATCTAAATGTTTTTATCTCTTTACAACTAAATATTTTTGTATCATAGAAAAACTCTGTTTCTATCTCTGAAGAAATTTAATATAGTCTCATGTTGTTAGAGTAAAATGATTGTATGCATAGTTTATCAAGGAAATTTAATTTCGTGTACAACTGTAAAGGGTTAAACGAATTTTATTTTTTGTTAATACATAGTAGAAGAAATGGTATTTTATGACAATTGCTAAGTTCCGCTTAGAATTGATTATGATAAGAAGACGATCTGAAAGGAACGACATAGTTGTTACGTTATAAAGAAAGTTGAACAGAAAAAAAGATGCGTTTAATGGAAATCTGCTGCAGGCATCAGTAAGATGGATCGCCGTTAAAGAAGTTCCATCGAAATGGTATTGAGTGTTCACCACGCCTATGTAAATAAATATAAGAGTTTTCTACGTGCATAGAGACCTAATATCTCAAAAGAAGAATCTATTCATGAGATTAACAGCGAATATTTTATGTTATTAGATACTACAAGGGAATCTCGAATTGACTAGAATAGAATTCTAGATCAACGCAGAATCTTTTCAAGAACAGTATATCATTGTACGAAAAGAAAAAAACTTTTATTCCATTTCATATTTATTTTTTGAGTGCAATTGTATTTTATTTAAAAAAAAAAAAAACAAAGCGAAGCATATACACGATATGCGATTTTTCCAAAAGAAAAAAAAATCGCGTTTACTTTTGATAGAATTTCGAGGGAGTCAGGAACTCATCTCTCGAACATCATAGTATAGATCAATGATGGGCATTTGCAGCTGTAAGAGCGCAATGCACGGACATGCAAGGAGCGAACATTCTCGAACACCGATAAGTACGGTAGACTCTCGTTATATTGCCATATATAGAATTCTGGAAGATAGAGTTACAGAAAGAAGTCCTTCTATGTAGTGCTTGAAAATTGTTAAATTCCTAAATTTGAATATTTGTAATTTTGATAATTTCAAAATTTGAATCCGTATACCGTGGAAGTGAAATGTCACTAATATGTGTGAAAGTTCATGAAAAGAATAATTTACTTAACCGATGATATAACCAGAGTCTATTATAATAGCTCGCTGTATTTGTCTGGTTGATCAGAAGTGGGAAGATTCAATGTTCTCTTTCTTGTACATGTCTCTGCATGACCGTGCCGTGAGCTCTTCGGTGGGCACTCGATTTACCCATCACTGGTATAGATTCAACCCCTTGCGCTTGCCTATTATTTACTCATGCATTAACACTAGATGTCAATATATTTTTATATTGTTAAACGTTTACTAAATTTTTAGTGATGGACTTTTAATCGAATGTTTCTCGTTTGATGAACATATAATAATTTATGATATTTAGTCGGACTATTGATGGTAATATATATATATGAAAATAATAACTGTGTGTATTATAGGTCTCAGAGTAAAAAACAATAAGTGTCAAGGGGTTGATAATGGCGCTCTGGACCAGCATGCGTTCGATGCATCGAAGCTTCCTTTAGTCTTGGGATGCTCGAGCAGCCGAACGGTCATTTCTAGAGTTCTCTAAAAATAAAACACCAATGATTATATTGTCTACCACTTATTAAAGTACAAAGCGAGACCACATGTTATTTTCCCCCCCTTAAGTGTATAACGACACCGAGGGACACTTTATTAGTAATTAGGAAGAAAACCAACTATTAGTGGCACGATACACGAGTGTTGGTTTTCTTTTCTTTTCTTTGTCGAACGATGGCTAAGAATATATTAAATATACGTATAGTAGATTTAACGCAGCAATAGAATACTTGTAACGAACTCGATGAAGCGTTTGTACATAGTATTATATATATATATATATATTATATGCAGGTCGTTTCGCAAATTGTCAGATAATGGCTAATGAAAAATTCACTAAAGGTGCTGATTAAAAGACACAGACACACAATTGAACGTTATATGTATCATTTTAAAGTTGACATTGTTTTAATAGTTTTATTACACAAGCACAAATTTAAAGGTGCCGAATTTTCTCTTAGTGATTATTGTAAAGCTTACAAAATACTGTGTGTAGAGTATTTCATACAGTATATTATAAATTCAGGAAATAATAACTTAAATTAAAAATTATACTTGCCATGTTTTCATAGACTATTGATTATTAATGGGCCTATTAATAATTGTAATATTAATATTTTTTTATATCTTATTTGATAAAGAGTAACATTTCAGTTAATACTATCCAATATCTGTTTATGACTTTACGTCAAAGGATTAACCCTTTGCCATTCAAATTTTCTGTATAATGTTAATATTTTTTTCTTGTTCGTAACTTTATGTCAAAAGATTTAATTAACTGTTTATAACTCAAATCTTATATGTTTGAGAAACTAAACAATAAATTTGTTTCATCATTCTTTAGTTTGCCTAACACGATACATATAAAGCAAAGAAGCAAGTTTTGAATTTAAGACAGAAATTTTATTGCCCGATAGACGAATAAATATGTAGAGGGTTAAATATTTAACGTGAAGAAAAGGACTATATTTTCAATTAGTAACTGCAAAGATATATGAAGGGTTAACAAGCATAGAGTTAAATATTCTAACAAAACATATGTATTTTAATGTATTGTTAATTAACAAATTGATACTCAATAGTCCATTGAAAACATTTCACATCCGGTTTATTTGTTAAGATATAAAGGGCGCATGCTGTGTAAGTATACCATATCTTATGAAACACTCTGTATATACATATAAATACACTATATAAATATTTGTATAGCACTTGCACATTTTGAAGATTTATAATTTTATGAAGACGAGATTGTTTTAAACTGATCGAATAAGAATGATATATGTTATTATTAGGCAAAACGTTTTATATAGATTCGAGTGTCCATGTCGGATGTTGATTTAAAAATATAATATACAATCTTTTAAATGCTTGTACTTAGATATTTTTGAAGTATCTGAAATCGAACTACGCTACGAGGAAAAGAGAAAAAAAGTTGTTAAATCTAGTTAAATGTTTAAGTGTTATATCTGTTTCGTGCAGCAATCGCGAATATAAAAACCACCAGTCTCTTCAACAGAAATAAAAAATGTTTCTTGATGTTTTCGTATTTACCAAGATTCAAATCATCGAGTTCCTTATGAAAGCTCAGAAAAATAACGAATTAAAATTATGCTATAATAAACTATAATTTACAACGGATCATGAACAAAACAATATATCATTTTAAAGTTTTCAAACGTTTATTTTCCTTCAATTTTGTTAAATCTCCTTAAAAACGTGAAAAATTAATTAAATTTGTTTTATTTTTAAGCTTAAGGCCTAATTATTATTTTATTTTTATGTTTTCAATAATTTGCATATAATTTGTTTAAAATAAATGTAGATACGTATTATTTAAACATTTTACTGGCAATTGACATCACAATGTCATTATTTGATATACCAGCTATTAGTAAAGATCAAATTTAGAACATATGTTGGTTTATTTTGTAGTTGATAACTAAGGTACCTTTTACTTTTCAAATATTTAGGAATTTAAAGCAACAATTATCTTTTATAAGTATTTGAAAGAAGAAACTATTAATCAAAATCATTTGCATAACTGGCCAGTAAAGAATTAATATTATTTATTTAATTTTTTGTTTTACTAATTAATATTAATAACAGAAATATGTTATTTAAAAATTTTTTTTAGTCTACATTAGATAAAATGGACTAATGATATTAAGAACAATTAATTAACAGTTAATAATAAATAAAGAATTGGTGACACCTACTAAAACAAATTCAATTATAATATCTGATGAATCTTTGTAATTGTATGTCAAATATTTTTATTTCAAGTGAAAAGAACAACGATTAAAATGAAACACAAATGGAAGCTTCACATTGAGTGTGAAAAGTAACTAAAATACTTATTTATGCTAGTTATTCTTAATAATGAAAATATACATATATTTTCTTTTTTATTATGCCATATGAAATTATAGATAAAAATAAAGTGATCTTTTCATCAATGAATACATGTTTAACAGTTCAAACATATTAATTATAAAAGGAACAGTTTTATATATTAACATTTTTCATATAATGTTTTATGAGTATTAGATGTAAATATATATCATGTTTACTTTTTTTTAAATATAATATTATGTGTTTATGAAACTAAAAGCACAAGTGTTTATATGTATATTCAATGAATTGCATAAAGATGTTTATTAATATGTATTTGATTTTATGGAAGCTTATTGCAAATGACATCTTTTTGTTGATAAAAAGTTTATGTGTTGTCAAAGTACCTTTATACATCATACAGAAAATCTATTTATTATTTATTATTTATAAAATTAAAAATGATACTAATAAACATCTTCATATGCAATTAAAAATATTCTATTAACAATATGTTGACAAAATTAACAACTGATGATCTATTCTCTTTTCAACAGTTGCATATAAATTTCATATTAATTTTCTTTAGTTTATATAAATATTTCTTGATACTTATTGTAAATATTTTTTGCAAAATAAATAACTTCACAAAGCTAATGAAAATAATGACAGATCATCGTTAAAGCGTAGAATGTATAATTTCGTAAGTTTTCATTGTCATTATTGATATATTTTATAAGATAAACTATGGAATAAGTTAACCGAAAAATCAAAAGGGAGATTCAGTTCTTATACCGAGAACAAGGCACCTGAATAATAATTATAGTTTCGGGGTTAGGAAGTAATGTTTTATTTCTTCTCAGGTAAAGGTCACCTTCCATTTGAAAATTTTTTTTAAATTAGTTAATTTTCAGAATATTCCAAATTTTATCGTGAGACACAATTTTTTAATTTAAAATATGTTACAAACCATTAATTTTTTAGATATTATACAGAAAATTTAAAAATGAAATTTTAATGTAGGTAAAAATAGTATATGGTTAGAAGAAAATGAAGGTGACCTTCTAGTCTTCTATGTAACTCAACTTGAGAAGAAATTTTATTCGCCATCATATGACGCGCAGAGAACCAAACAACTTTTATTTCGAACATTTCTTCACATCTCTAAAACTGTAGGAGTTATTCAAGGGGATTTTCTTCACGACGAATCATCCTGTAGGAGAAATTTTTTTTACTTCCAAAATTTGTCGTTTTTTATAATCGAAGAACAACAAATAGTGATACGTGGTTGATATCCTAATGTATCATGGTTGGATGTTTAACCAGTTTCTATTATTTATACAGTGAAAAAATAAATCTACGAATTCATCAAATCCTGCGAGGCCTACGACTTTATGGCACAGGGTATGCATCTCTTAAAATGTTGCGTATTTACTATTGTATATCTTGTAAGATTATCGAAGTTATTATTTTTATCATTATTATTATCAGCATTATCATTGCTATTAGGATATATGATAGAAGTTTATTATAACTATCATTGACATAAAATTCTTAAAACATTTAAATATTAAATATTGTTGTGTAAGTAATTTAAGGATATGCGTTATTGTACAATTCTAAATAAAAATATCTATACTTAATAAATAAAATTTTCATCGATCTGCGATGTATTTTAATGACCAAATATTGGCTAATATTATCATTATTTAATTTAAAAGAAAGAATATGAAAGAAAACTATAACAGAAATTAAAAAATTTATTTTTACGTATATGAGCGGTTTACTATTCTACAGTTTAATTATTTTAACATTTCAGTGTTTAAGTATTTTGCTATTTTAATGTTCTGTTATGTTCTTATATTACTATTTTATTGTTCAATGTATTTTTAGTACTAAAATAGTTTATGGGATTAAAATGAAGTTCTACTTCATAAATAAATTCTTAAATTTAGAAACGTAGAAATTTTCTGAATCACAAATTCTAAAATTAAAAATTTTTAAACTTTTAAATAGTATATTATAATTTTAAATTATACAAATAATATTATAATTTTTAATTATAAAACTTTTTAATTTGCAAGCTTCCAGGAGCAACATGGAAGAATCTCTTTCTATATTGCCTCTTTCTACTGGTGCCCTCAAATGCACGCCACATGCATATACTGCAACCTCGTGGGCAGCGAGTTACTTGTAACCCCTACTTTACATCATGAACGCAATTGTCTATCGAAACGAAAAAATGGACATTTATATCGTCCTTCTGAAATCCTACAAATGCTATTGGGAAAAAATGAAAACATCCTTAGACATAAACATCGAAGTCCACATCTGTGACACAACCTAACTTTGGCACAAAGCTTCAGTATCGATCCCGCGGCAGCTGATATTCTCGACGACGACGCAAGCTCAACTCGTGACGAGGATCCATCGAGGTAGAGGGGTGGGCAGTTAGTCCTCTTTCTCGTTGCCGCTGTTTGGTTCCTCTTCTTCCTTCTGTCGCGGTCTCTCCTTCTTTCTCTCGCATCCTCGCGAGGAAGAGGACGAGAAGCAGGAAAGATGAGCGATCAAGAGGATCTCGACTACTACATCATGTTCCCATCGTCACCATCGTTTCCGAAAAACCCTACGGTGACTACCGGGAGCCAAGATCAAGGAGAGGAGTACGTGTTCGTTTATCAAGAGGAACGGCCAGTTGTCGTGCTGCTAGGATGGGCCGGCTGCAGAGACAGATACTTGGCCAAGTACAGCGCGATGTACGAAGAAAAAGGGTACTGACATTTGTTTAAATGATGATAAAATTGCTTATGATTTTACAAGATTGTAGCTAATCATTGCTGTTAAATGTTTGTGACAAAAGGCTTTGAGGAATGAACGCTCGTCAAGTGTTGTTATTGCCGCATGGTAATATCATGAAAAATACATCCGATGGAAAAGGCATGGAAGACAACGCAACGCCGGCAAATCGTACTAACGATGATGTTTATTTAATCGATAACAACACGAATACTGTGTTAAATTTCAGTCCGTTCGCATATTTCTAGCGCGCTGTGTACTCAAATGTCTATATCTGGACCATAAAGCCAGAGTGTAAGTCACACTTTTCAAATATTAGAAGTCAGTAGATCGAAGTGCAGAACTGTAACTTTAGAAGCATTGAATGTATAAGTCATTTTTAACCATTGATAAAAATGCATCGTTTTATTGTTTGAAAGTGAAATTGTGGACATGTTGCTCTTTAAAGCAAAAAAGATAAATTAAGACTTGATACTGAATAGTTTTAACTATGGACTTAATGTTTCAGTGATTTAATGTCACTATGTCTTGACTTAATATTGACATTAACATTGATTATCATGTAAGGTTCTAATATATCTTTTTAAACAGGTATGCAGTTCAAAATTATTTCAACATTTATGATAGATGTAATACCATATAGAGTGGACACTCACAGAGTCACAAAGTACAACAAATCATTTACCTGTTTGACTCAGAACACACTATCAACTTATATTTTTCTATTATACTACAAACTAAACCACTTAGAATAAAATATTTCTTACCATTAGAAAGAGTAAGAAATTTGATACAGTTGACATGGAAAATATTGTCTTATTGTAAAATAGATTTACACTCTGGTTCTGGGTTCCAGATATTTGTTTACTAATAATAACAAGTCTTTATTTATGTTTAAAAGACGGTAAATATTCTTTTTTTTCTTTTGATAGAAACTTTTAGTAGTTTTCCCATCTCTGTTCCCCTAACTAGACCACAGGAGAAGCATAGTCATTGTTTTATGTAACATCCTATCTTTGTTCGTTAGGCCAGTCTATTTAAAAAAAAAATTTTGTAGTTCTTTTGATTTACTTACATTTAGATTCTTATACACTTTCCCTGTCTTTTGAAATTGTTTAACTTTCTCAATTGTATCAGTTTTCTTCATAATGTATTTTTGCTTACTTATATGTCCTTTCATTTTGTACTTGATCTCTAATTTCTTTTTATATTTTCCTTTCTTTTTTTGTACATATTTTTTATTTTTAATAATTTCTGTTTTCTCTTCCACCCTCTCCAAATATTTAATTATTGCTTCCTGATACTATTTTAATCTATATTCCTAGTTCCTTCTGTAAGAAATCGTTCTTTTCCTTTGTTGCCTTTTTTGATTTGTAATATCTTTGAAATACTTCTTTCGCTTGTGCTGATAATGTCTTATTCTATGTAAGCCTATATAAGTCCACCATAATCTTACAAAGACAGTAAATAATTAAGCATTAACAGGAATTGAGTAGAATTTATGTATTGTAATTTCAAAGAGATTAGATGAACAGAATCAAGTAGAGTATCCAATATTATTTCTTATTGATGATAAGTGTATTTTGCTCGCCTTTGAAGGTGTATCACACTGCGTTACACGGCACCGGTAGAATGCCTGTTCTGGCGAAGGGACAAGATGCCTTATATTGGTAAACGATTGATCCAGGTGATCACAGACAAAAGTCTGGATCAGTACCCGATATTCTTTCATGTCTTCAGCAATGGTGGTGCGTTTCTGTATCAACACGTAAGCCTTGCAATGCAACAAGCTAACACACCGCTGAAGGTAAAATAAAATATTGCCTTACATTCTTAGATTGTTCTGTAAACTGATATTTCACGTACCTATTAAAATTGAAGGTAAAAGGGGTAATATTCGACAGTGCACCAGGTGAAAGAAGATTGACTGCTCTCTTCAAAGCAATCAGCGCGATTATTGGAGGACATCCGCTTTTAAACATACCTACGTCATTCTTCATTACGATCTTCCTTTCTTTACTTTGGTTCTTCGAGGTATGAGCAATCATACTATACTCACAAGAAAAATGCATAATTTTCATAACACCGATTTGGTTCAAATTTTCCAGTTATAAGACTTCTGGAAGGTAACAATTTTACAAAATCATAAAACATACTTCTCTGAAATGAAGAAGAAATTTGCACCCAATTTTTAAATTCGTATTTAAAACGTTTCAATATTAAAAAATTTGCAATCCATAAAATTTAGAAATTTATAAACTTATTACTTTTACATGTATAAATTCAAAAGCTTGATTTATACATTTATTATGATATTTACAAATTTACAAGTTCTCAATCTTCAGACGTAGAAGTATACAAATTTAGTATTTTTAGAACTTACAAATTTGTTCATTTTATACTTTCATACTAGATATTCTTTCTGTCTTAATTTATTTGTTAATTTTTAGCTAAATTGCTATCTTATTTCAGAGAGATATACGCTATGATTTTACAAAATTTTTACCTTTAGAATTTCTTATATAATACTAAAATAGACCAAATTCGTGTTCTATACGTTGTGCACTCCCCTTATCAGTAGTTTTTATTCGAATTTAAAATTGAATTAGACGCAGTCACTAAATGTTGCAAAACATTGCATGGCAAACATCATTTTACCTAATCAATTGCTTTAGATAAATTTTCAAGCATTAATTATTTTGCAATGAATAATGACGTTTTTCAGTAACGATCTGCACAGTTAAGTAATAAGCTACTTGTTTAGGTGATCGCACACGCTTTTGGACGCGGTTATCCGGTGCAAACGAATCCGATCGCTCTTGCAGAGGAATCCTATTCTTGGCCTCAATTGTTTCTTTATTCGAACACCGACACTTTAATACCAGCATCGGTACGTGTTCATCATACGTAACAATCCTAGAAAAGAAACGGATGCATTTATTATACTCCTGTTTCAAGGACGTTGAAAAGTTCGCCAGCCGCCGTGCAGAACGTGGCGTTCGAGTGCAATTGGTATTATTCACAAATTCTCCACACGTAAAACATTATGCTACTTATCCTGATGTCTACGTTAACACGGTCTGTAGTTTTATACATGAATGTTTGGGCTCACCGAACGTAGAAAATCTGGATTCGCCTCAAGATCATAACGAAGAGTCTAGCTCACAAAGTTACGATGCTCTGCCTGGTCTCACTAAAAGAGTTGTGTTACCTTGCAAGGCCACGCCACAGCTAAATTGAAGGGAAATTAACAATAATGAATTAACTATGCAAAAAGGTGGACAAACTGGAAGGCTAAGAAAATCAAAGTATCATTTGCTTTTATATTTCGACTTAGAAGGTTTAAACTTGTGAAGCAAGTACAAACTTTATGGACAGCATTGAATCTAGTCATTGTTATGAATTTGTATTAACTAGAAATACTTTAAAAATTAATGAATTTAGCTGTTTTAAGAAAATTCAATGCTGTTCCATGCAAATGACTAAAATATTTCAATTTCTGTAAAAATGTTAAGGATTACAGCGAATTTCTCTATTCTCCTTTTATCCTTATATTTCTTTCTGATATTCCATTCATATCTTCCAGTTTCTTCCCTTACTGTGTGTCCTCGAATGTCAATGGTGTATGAATTTTGCAAGTTAACAAGATTGCGTTCCTTTTGGAAGCGTTTAAGAAAAAACTGTACATGCAGTCCGTCATTCAGTCATGTACAATTTTATGGAAGTACAATTTTGAATGGAATAATGTTGCGTAATATTTACGATTTCTTCGTTTGAAATCCTGTTAATCTTGTGTAGTGAGTTATTGAAGACTCTAGATGCACTTGATGGCAAACTAAAAAACAGAAACTTAAAATTAGAAATCTAGATGCTTACTGATGCGATCAAAGTGCGTATGAGAAATATACATCGTTAATTAAGATCTAAAGAAAACATAATATTTACAATGTTTTAAATTTCGACGTAATGAGTTCGCACAAAAGGATCAAGCTGGTCTTGATTTAGCTTTTGATTTTAATTGCAGTGTAATTAAATATCGACAAAGCGGAGGAATTTTCTTGTATCCTACACTATCAAATAATAAATAATGTTACGTCTGTGCATATACCATATGTACTTACAAACACACAAATATATACTTATATACATATATATATATATATTTTGATCTGTCGATTAGTTATGAATAAAGACTGATAAATATACAGAATTTGTTATGCTCTTATTTGCAAACAGTTGATTGGAATTGAGGAAAAATAAAATATCAAAAATACATATGCATTTAAATAATACTTATTTTCATGTATAAGTTTTTTAATAAAAAAAATGTATAAAATTAACATGTAAGTATGTAAGCTGTAAACATGTAAAAATCTATTTAAATTCATAAAACTTTTTTATGTTCAATATTTAACAAAAATTCTTATCTTCTAATAGAATTATCAAAATATTTCAATCTACAATTGAGAAAAGTGTATATCATTAATCTTACTATGTTCATACACAATCATTACTATTTATAGAAATTTCTTTTAAATCTTCATAACAACCTATTTTTTTCCTAATTAAATCTCCCCACAAAACATTTGTGTTACAAGCAGGACAAATACCTTCAATTGGTAAAATCATATTGTCTTTACAAAATAATTTTGCTAAACAAATTAAGTGAGCTACCAAGCGACAGCTAGGCTTTATGCAAGTAATTAATTCTTTTTTTTCTATAAATGAACTACATATGGAACAAGTCACATATGATTCCTCTAATATTTGTACTTCATTCAATTCTTCATCATACACCTTCTTGATTTTTTGAGAAATAACTTTACCACAACATACAGGCATATGCATTGGAGCTGAAATGTGATAAGAGTATTTCTCAAAAAAATCGTAATTTAACCAACGTATTGTTAGGGGTAAACGACACCAAGGTCCAACATTTAACATTTCTGATACGACTAGTAAACAAAATTCAAATACTTTTTGACGTGCTTTTTTTTTAGGTACATGTTTGAGACGTCGACTAACATGAGGATGTTGCCAAGCCCATTCAAACTAAAATGAAAAATAAATTAATTTTTAAATATGACTACATGTAATGTTACTTACCCTAAGTGCAGCTGTTCTATTTGGAAATCCATGAATAATTAATACCATATTCCTAAAAGAAAAGCATATTCATTTACTTATATAGAACAAAGTTTTATTATAAAAAACTTTGTAATTAAATATTTTTTGTACTTACCATGGTCCCTTATTACTTGTTTTCCATGCTCCCCTATGTTCTTTTCCTGCATTATGTTGTTTAAGTCTACGTCGAGGATCAACTGTGTATCCTATGTAAGTTCTTCCTTTATATTTTGGATTCATACAATATAACAAGTATACACCATAAAAATGCTTTATAATTTCTTCACCGTCCATTTTAATATGTACAAAATTTAATATTGTATTAGAAAAGAAATACGTTAAGTAAAATGTAATGAAATTATAACTTTTACGTTGTACAATTGAACAAAAAAATACTTAATAAGGTATACAGTTTATTTAATTAATTGTAATTTCATTTAACCTATAACATACAATTAAAAAAACGCAATATAAGATTACATTATGTACATACTTACAAAATATAAAATAAAAAGTTTTTCCAAAACAATAGGAAAAGAATGAAGGTGTTAAATTTAAGAACTACAGTATTGTTCTAATCAAACAATGAAAAGTTAATGTAGAAGAATTGTTTTTATTAAAGATTATTATAAGATATATTTTTATAGCATACATACATATTTATATATGTGATATATAATATCATGTGTTACTTGAATAATAAAATTAAAAAACACATTATATTATAATAAATTATCTCATTTCTTTTATGAAAATATAATATATCCATTGTATATTTTCAAGTTATAATGATCCACAAATCACGTAACATTAAATATTGTCATAAATTCAATTTCTCAATCTTAATTTCAGAAATGAAACCAATTGGTATAGCATAAACAACAAAGCCGTACATAGCAGGTTTGTGTTAACTTCAGAAAACCGCCATATACCTTTAAACAACAATTTAATTAATTGTTAAATGAACGAAGTGCAGATACACTCAACACTTGTACATCGTACGTGTATTGTGCGTGTAATCTTATAAATGATACCACAATAATAAATTTTAGTATAATCAATCAAAATGCCGTCATTATGCGGTAAACAACTTGTATATCTACTGGCTACTCTGTTGTGTTCAGCAGTCATGATTCGACATTATTAACGCATCACACAATTAAAATCTTATCGAAAGACGCAAGCGCTGTAACATTGAAATTATAGTTTATCAACTAAGTGTTTTCCACGGTGGTAGTGTCATATTGTATAGAAACAAAAATTGCGAATGGAGATTATTAATAAGAATAAATCAACATTAGTCCTCAATTTTACCAGGAATATAATCGAAAGCGCCGCGTTTAGCTACAGCGCTGTCGAAATTGGACTCTGATCTTGATTGGACGCAAATCATCAGAGATCTTTGCACAAGAATCCAGTAAGAATGGCTGCTGTTTTGAGAAGATTCAAAGTCGCACAGATCACAGTGATCGGCAATACTAGAATACCGTCATTTATTATCAGCCGGTAGGCGACTATGATTCCGAAACATTGAGGAGCGCTTCTTTTTTCATTTGTTTCGCGTATAGACTACGCGAGCTAGTCTAAACGGCGGCTTTTTAGGGCAATAGCCACATCGTGTGTGTTGTAGATCTTTTGCAAGGTCATCGATCCAACAGGATATCAACGAAGGATGGATAAACAAGCTATTTGTAAGAAAAATCGAGCCAACCAAAGAGTCACATTCACGGATGCTGTCAGACAAAGGAGTTATTTACGCTTTACATACGCACAATATCCGACCTGATTGTATTGACAAATATTTTGCCAATTAGTAAGTATATTCCATATTTTTACAATTTACATTTGTCACTGTAGAAATGAATGATTGCTTTAAAACGTAGATTACATGCACAAAAATTCTTTTCAAGTTCCTTTGAAGTTTCAAAAAAATATTAGATTTTGTTTATGTCGCAGAATTGGCATGCGCAGAGAATTCTTTTATATTAGGAAATTATATTGGGACATGTTTGTATTTTGGGATATTACAGTGAAGAGATTGTTAACATTATATACTCCAAGAAGTCTGAATTGAAATTGGAACTAGTTGGTTCATGGAATGTTGTAGCCGGTGACATCGATCAAGCATTACACTTGTGGCGATACTCTGGTGGTTATGATAGTGTGGATCGCACCCAGATTGCATTATCTAATAACGAGGTACAATATATATATATATCTGTTATTATATAGTAATATATTATTTACTTTATATCGAACCATGAATTTGTAATTCCACAAATTTTAAATTCTATTTACTTAAATTCTGTATGCAATAAATTCTCTGATTCTTAAATGATGTACGTTTAATTTCATAATTAGAAGTACAAAATATAATTACAATAGTTCTTAATTGAAAACTAGAAAGCTACATATTCATGGGTTTACCATAAGAAGAACAAATTGACAATTTTATATAATAAAAATGTTTATTTTAGGCATACCAGCAGTTATTTAAAGAGAATGGAAAATATTTGCGATCACGTTACCTGCAATATTTATTGGCATTTAGTTACTGGCCTCCTGTAACAACAAGAAATGGTTCACATATATATGAAATACGTAGTTATAGGTTAAAACCTGGTACTATGATAGAATGGGGTAATAACTGGGCCAAGGCCATTAATTACAGACGTAACAATAATGAACCTTTTGCTGGTTTTTTTTCACAAATTGGCAGATTATATAATGTTCATCACATTTGGTGTGGGTATCAGTATTTAATTTCTTACTCCATTTTTAAATTATCTTAGCATGATATTAGATAAAATAATGTTTACTGTAAAAAGTAATATATGTATGAATATGAAATCTCCAATATATATTTTAATTCATGACTATAATAAATATCTTATATTTTAGGCTATAAAAATCTCCAAGCACGAATGGAAACACGTGAAAGTGCATGGAGATCTCCAGGATGGGACGAATGCGTTGCATATACTGTGCCATTAATAAGGGAAATGCATTCTCGTATATTAAGTCCGACTAGCTTCTCACCAACAAAATAAAATCTTACTTTCATGAATTTAAATGCATTTGTATATTACAACATATTCTTTATGTTTATATTATAACATTGTAAAAACATTTGTTATAATTTATATTGCATTTATAACTGTGTAAACTAAGCGCTCAATATAAAAACAAATTGTAGCATTTTGTTGTATTACAACTTCTGAAATGTATTTTAATAAAATTTAAACTTCTTTGTTATACATCAATCTAAATTCAATATTTATTTGTAAATGAATTCAAGAATTCATGAATTTTTAGATTAAATGATTGAGCCATAAAATTGATTTTAGTACGAAATTTAATTTTTAAGTGAGTGTACGGTCAATTTGGTGAATTGCTGTCAAGCGACTTATACGGATTTATAAAATAATAAGTTATAAGTATTGTGGAATGCTCTCAAATTTTTAGTATTTTGTAGTAAACCGTAAGTTGTATTTTCTTTTTGTAGGGACTTGTTTCCTTTGGATAACAAACCTAATGGAACACATTTCCAGTGTATCTATTTAAGTCCACTTAAGTCGCTGACAGTGTTGGACAGTCACAGGGCGTACGCATTAAACAACCGATAGGAGTTCTCAGTAGCGTATATACTTTGACAAAATATAAGGCAACATTAGACCCCAATAAGAAACAAAACATATAAAAGAAGTTGCAGGAAGAAAAAAAGATTAAATAAAAAAATAGATTGTATTTGATATAAACAACATTAAACTGATTTATTATTGATTTAATATTTTTTACGCCTGCAGCCGATTTATTTACTTATTTATATTGGTGATGCTAATGCAGAAGACAATGGTCGCTGCGTCATTTATGAAAAGATAGTGGAAACATAATAGTATACGAGTTACAGTTACTCGATTTAATATTCGGACGCTATGGTATTTGCGAAATTAAAGCTTTATGTACTTACTTGCAACGTGATTATCGAATTTTCTGATCCGTAATGAGTTAAGGCACATATTTTAGTTTATAAATATATAAAAATAAATACTTCATTTTTTATTGTTTTCTACATAATAAATGATAAACGAAATTAGACACGATATTGGTGTCGAAAAAATATTCGGACACTTAATATTACATAAAGTTTTTTCTTGTTTAGAGTGTTTGTAACAACAAAGTTATAATTTTAATATTAATTTAATATTTTTTGGGACATCCCTTTTGTCACATGACGTGTTACAAACGTGTTGGCATGTTTGAACTTATTTTATTTAAAAATAATTTTTGAGTAATGCGTTTCCACTCTTCCGTCACTCGCATTTTTTAATTCGTCTTTTGTTTCTATAGGGGTGGTTTTAATATTACGATCCAATAAGTCCCATAGATTTTCAATTGGATTTAAATCTGCCTTAATCTGGTGATTATGGAGGATGGAGCACTTTCGGACAGGCATATAATAAATATTCCTCAACTATTCTCGATTTGTGTTTCGGATCGTCATCCTGGTAGAACTTAAAACTGTCGCGTATACCCATATCGTTGCACTTTTTAATAAATTTTTTATTAATATATCACAATATTTGTTCATGTCCATAACATCTTCAATAAAAACCAGCCCCCCTACTCCAGCACTAAAAATGCAGCCCCATACCATCAAGCCTCCACCACCGTATTTCATCATCGGTATTGTATTACTTATTTTTAATTGTCCATTCGATTTACGCCACACTAATCTTTGTTTCTTATGTCAATTTCATGTTACTGGGTGTAACAGACGAAAATATGTAGAAAACATACTCATACTATACAGCATACATAGATCATATGATTAAATGCGAACTACATATAATTCTTAGAATAATTACTGACTAATGCATCATCCGTAAGATTGTTAAGAATAACAAAGTCAGTTACCACTTACAATGTATTGAAAAGCTTAAATAAATAGAAAACAAACGGCGTATAATGACCATTTATTTAAGATTAATCCCTACGATACAGCCTCACATATCATTTCTCCTGATACCAAATTTCGTAATCCGGACCGTAAATTCGAAAAATTATCCTGCCACCTCCTCACATATCATATTCTCCTGGTACCAAATTCCAAAAAGAGTATCCAGGACCCGAAATTCTTCCGTGCCACCTCCTCACATATCATATTCTCCTGGTACCAAATTCCAAAAAGAGTATCCAGGACCCGAAATTCTTCCGTGCCACCTCCTCACATATCATATTCTCCTGGTACCAAATTCCAAAAAGAGTATCCAGGACCCGAAATTCTTCCGTGCCACCTCCTCACATATCATATTCTCCTGGTACCAAATTCCAAAAAGAGTATCCAGGACCCGAAATTCTTCCGTGCCACCTCCTCACATATCATATTCTCCTGGTACCAAATTCCAAAAAGAGTATCCAGGACCCGAAATTCTTCCGTGCCACCTCCTCACATATCATATTCTCCTGGTACCAAATTCCAAAAAGAGTATCCAGGACCCGAAATTCTTCCGTGCCACCTCCTCACATATCATATTCTCCTGGTACCAAATTCCAAAAAGAGTATCCAGGACCCGAAATTCTTCCGTGCCACCTCCTCACATATCATATTCTCCTGGTACCAAATTCCAAAAAGAGTATCCAGGACCCGAAATTCTTCCGTGCCACCTCCTCACATATCATATTCTCCTGGTACCAAATTCCAAAAAGAGTATCCAGGACCCGAAATTCTTCCGTGCCACCTCCTCACATATCATATTCTCCTGGTACCAAATTCCAAAAAGAGTATCCAGGACCCGAAATTCTTCCGTGCCACCTCCTCACATATCATATTCTCCTGGTACCAAATTCCAAAAAGAGTATCCAGGACCCGAAATTCTTCCGTGCCACCTCCTCACATATCATATTCTCCTGGTACCAAATTCCAAAAAGAGTATCCAGGACCCGAAATTCTTCCGTGCCACCTCCTCACATATCATATTCTCCTGGTACCAAATTCCAAAAAGAGTATCCAGGACCCGAAATTCTTCCGTGCCACCTCCTCACATATCATATTCTCCTGGTACCAAATTCCAAAAAGAGTATCCAGGACCCGAAATTCTTCCGTGCCACCTCCTCACATATCATATTCTCCTGGTACCAAATTCCAAAAAGAGTATCCAGGACCCGAAATTCTTCCGTGCCACCTCCTCACATATCATATTCTCCTGGTACCAAATTCCAAAAAGAGTATCCAGGACCCGAAATTCTTCCGTGCCACCTCCTCACATATCATATTCTCCTGGTACCAAATTCCAAAAAGAGTATCCAGGACCCGAAATTCTTCCGTGCCACCTCCTCACATATCATATTCTCCTGGTACCAAATTCCAAAAAGAGTATCCAGGACCCGAAATTCTTCCGTGCCACCTCCTCACATATCATATTCTCCTGGTACCAAATTCCAAAAAGAGTATCCAGGACCCGAAATTCTTCCGTGCCACCTCCTCACATATCATATTCTCCTGATACCAAATTCCAAAGTCCGAACCTTAATTTGAAGTATCTTCCAGTACCTCCTCACGTCTCATATAGTCCTGAGATAAATTTCCAATTTCTGGATCCCTGATTTTTAAAATCGTTGTGGGCAAATTATGGAAGTAGATTCGAAAAGAAATAGGCATATAAGAGTAAACATCTTTATTACAGTTTAAAATGTTTCTTTATCAAGTGCTTACGCGTGACAATTTTGTCGAATTTTCGGAGCTCAGTTTTTAAAAATAACAATTTTTATTTAATATATAACAAATACATACTCTGCAATTAGTTTAACAGTTCGGGTCATGTGTAAATGCAATTTTAGTAATGAGAAATCTTATCTGTGTATATTTCTAGTAATGTTATATGTTTAATCGAAAGTACAACATTGTTGCATATTATTAATCCTTTTGTTTTTAACAATATCCAGGTGATGAAGGACAAAGTTTTAAATACTAACAGTTTTTATAATTTGATACTTTTAAATCTAATTTTCTGTTTTTGATTTATGTCAGAAAAAATATTAAAATTCCATTATAAAAGCACCATTATTTTGCAATATGTTTTGAATAAAGTGCGGTAAAAGGAGTAATACTTTACATATTATATAAAACTATCTATAATGATAAAACTTTGCATTGATAGGTTGCAGAAATTGAGTTATGGCATATTATTTAATACATTTTCGTACTATTCACTAATATGATTACATCGCATTAAAACTGATGAGTTATTAATATAAAAATTATTGTTAATAAAACATGATAGTTTGTTTTATGAAGTGAATTACGTACAAAATCTGAGATTACTGAAATTCTTAAAAGGTCCATTATAAATTTATCATTATCATTTATAAATATCTGATGTAATGAGTATGGAATGAGTATTACACGATTAAAGAATTAATATAAAGTCAAAACAGAATTGGTTCCTTTTGTCTCTAATATTCCATACAAATAAATTTGCTTTGAAAAGTATTTTAGAACTTTGAATACTGGAAATTAATATTAAATTTTTCAAATGTTCTTAATAGTTGAAGAAGACTGATAATAAGTATCTATAATAACTATATAAACAGTTATTCAAATATCAATCTACACAACAATTTTATTTTATAAATTTTTTACCACACCTTCTAACAAACTGATAAATTTTTGAGAATTCATCTAATATGAAGAAAACTACCTGAGAATTTCAAGTTTTGAAACTATATTTTAAACATTCTTTTTAAACCTTTAATGATCAATTACTATAAATGCAATTATAATTGACAATTATCTTCTTATTGAAAAATAGCTTCTTTTTATAAAAATTTCTTATAAAAATAGGTACAGTTAAATTATGTTTGTGTTACTTTAATGTATAGCATCAAATAGTATGAAATATATATTTTTAGTCACAAAGATGTTTGAAGTTAGCAGTCATAACTTGCTTTGTATTTTTGTTGAATCTGTTTAACTTTACCTTAATTTTTTTATTTGTACTTCGTAACAGCTTCCTGCTTAATATTTACTCAGGTAATCATTGGTGCATTTAGTTCTGTGAAGGTATAACTCTTTGTAAATTTATGAAAGCAAATATTCAAAACTATATATCTTCATAACTGCATGAACTATTAAATTTTTCTTCGTTGTAAAATGATTAAATAGAACCGTTCTTTTGTGATTGTAGTTTTTTATAATCAAGAAACAAATTCTTCATATCAGCCAATGACTTCTCTATTTGATTTGCAAATCGGGCAGCATTCTAAAAAAAATAAAATTACAAATATGTCCTATCTTGATTGTAATAATTAATTATCATTTATACGCTTACTGTTTTTGGAGAACTGCGTTTGCACGAAATATGGAAAAATATAAGATCTTCGCCAGCAATAATATAAGAAACACCATAACCATCATCAGCAACAGGGCCGAAACCACCGCCTGCAGAAATACAATTTGGATGTTTTTTCAAATTTATTAATGATGTCTGACCATGCGGAGTCTGCGAAGTAGATAATTTCCACGGTTCACTTAAAACTTCCTGAAAAAAAGAAATTTCCATTCAAACAAATTTCTTTAAAGCAAGCATTTTTAAACATTTTTAAATGAATTATCACCTTCAAAAACGGAGAATCCACTTCTAAATACTTGGATACTACGTATAAACAAAATAAGTGTCTATCAATTCCCTTGCCACACATAGCATCTTGATAACCTTTCTGATGCTGCTTTGCTGCTGCCATCAATAATTTATATTTATGGTCTGTCTGTAATAATAAAACATTTATATATTCAACATAAGCTATTTTATACTAGAAATTATAATAAAATGTTCATTAATCAATAGTAAAAACTTAAATTTTATTACTTACGGTAGCATCTTTATCTTCCATTGCTTTAACCCATGCCGTAGATTCAATTGTACATGGTCTCACTGTTTCTGTTCTTCCTTCTCTGAACAGTCTAGTCATGGAAGCCTCGTATGTTAAATTAAATTTACCAGAATCGCGATAATATGCTAATTGGAGTGCCATTTGTAAATATGCATCCGGTGACATAGAATTAATTTTCATAAAACCTTTTCCGTATGCATCATGTACATAAATGCGTAACTCAACGTCATTCAATAAATTCTGTGCAACCTAATCATTGAAAGTATTATGTAATATTTTTTTTTCTTTTAATTGTATATAAAAAATTAAGTATACAATTTGTTTACTTCGTTTGAGGTCTCAATAGCTGTTATACAACTTTCGTTTAAATCCCATTGAAGCCGAGTAGGAGATGGAGGTGTGAACTCCGGTTCCCCTTTAACGTGTCCATCTTCTCTATATCTGTAATATATTTTAACAAACACTTTAAAATATGAAATTAGGCAAAAAAGAATTTATTTTATTATAAGCAATAAGCAAATCTGTACAAAAGTTAAAATTATAGTTCAGAACACAAACAGTATAATAAATGTCTTAGATTACGTAAATAATGCACAAATTTTAAGATATAATTTTTAAAATGGAAATTAAAACAAACAAATATTTCATAAAAGTTGTAAAATAAATTTTTATTCCTTAATAGTTTTCTTTATTAGACTGTTTGTGTCTATTTCGTTTATTACGGATTAAAATTTCTAATGTCAAGTTTGTAATAAAATTTAATAAATGATAATGCTTGAAATACTGAAATTAATGACATTTTACCCGGTAATTTATATTCTGAATTCTTGGTTTAGTCGCATTTCACAAGAAATCTTGTTAAATTTTAATATTAAACATTTTGTTACTAGCTACATTAGTTGTAGTATCGCTATGCAGAAGTTTATTGAAAAATTAGTGTTATGTCTTTAATCCCCTGAAAGTATACATGTAAAAATTCACTCATTTATATAGCTAAATATACATAATATACAGAGTGTTAGCATATAATATCTAGTAAAATATGGTGTTAATAAAAAAAACATTGTAAGAAAAATTACCCCATTTCCACATCATTAGCAATAACATATTCCCATAGAGATCCCATGATAGGTGCATCAGCCCTAATAAGCATATTGTAGATAAAATTATTTAATCTATTATATTTAAATTTGTTTAATTAATAGAGTCAGCAATCACTGAACGATAAATAAAACAAAGAGATGGCAGAGTTTAATCAAATTTTTGTGTATATAAAGCAGTGATTTATGATTTTTAAAATAAAAAACTGAAAAGATTATTTTTCAAAAATATACTCACAAATGTTTTATTAGGCATTAATATTTTTCTTATAAAATTGAATATTTTTCATAAACTACTTAAGTTTAAGAATTAATCAATTATTGAAGTTCGTTTTAAATAGTAGTTAAGGTAATTGCAGTGAAGTTTGAAGTGAATGCAGAATAAGTAGAAAAAGCAAAAGAACAGTAACAAATGAAACCTGACCCCGTGAAAGCAATGAATTTAAGATTCTTACTCTCTATTGCCAGTTTCCTGAGATATCACGTACTCCCATAAATGTGACATCACTGCAGCATCTGCCCTGCTCATTACTTTTTATTATTCATCAATTCCAACATAGTTCATTATATTTTAAATATAACTCTACCATGAAATTTAATTCAAAGAAATAAAGAATTAATAACGAAGATGATTTAGTACGAAACGACTCATTTTCAACCATCTTCTTGTTTTACATATTATCTTTTTTATTTATAACTTAAATTTTTAATTTTCTACATTTTCAGGTTAAAAACTTACCACGAGTGTTCAGCATTGAATCCAATCTGTAAAACAAATTCAAATATTTAATAATTGCATTAAAATTTAGATAACAGTGCACTGATTTAATATTACTTACTCTACCATTGTTACCTATGCATAAAGTAAAAGATTTGTCAAACCATCTATCATATCCTTTACCATGTAATAGAATTCGGCCATATTGATCTAATTTTTCTGGATTCGCCTAATAATATGTAGAATATTTTAAAGTCATTCATTTATAAAAAAAAATTGATTGTAATGTTAATAACATTATTTACTGGATCATATATATATGGTATGTCATCTAGTGTAACTACAAATGCTGATTTTTCAATTAAGTCTAAAGATGCTTTATTCACTCCTTTTGAGAAAAACTCTTCTCTAGCCATTGCCCATGCAGTTCTTTCGCCTGCTGTTAACGCAGCCAATTTTTCTTCCCCTTCTGCGGGTTCTGATTTATCATCTAAAATTTGTTGCATCTGGCTGGAATATATGATTTATTATTTGGTAAAATAAGCAAATAAATATTAACGTTATACAGAATTATATATATAACTTACAGTTCAATTTCAGAGGGTTGAAGAATTCTGTTTTTATGATAAATAAAAACTTTGAAGTATCTGCCTTTATGATACACAACAATATGCTTAGAATCTTGATAATGAACAAGTTTGTCGGTATCGCGTCCAGGTATTCTTGTAGTATTAAATAATCTTTCATATTGCCATGAACATAAAGGTACTAGTCCCTGAATTAAAATCTAGAAATGGAAAAAAATGTATAAATTCCAACATTATACTCTGAATATGAATTTTGATTACTATTACTAACTGGTTCTAACTCTTGACGTTCAATGAGACGTCTATATTGCAGACATGAATAAATGACACTTGCGGCCCGAGCAGTTTGCACTTTCGTCGGATGCATTAAAATAGCATCGATGCCGTAAAAGTTTGAGTTCACCATAATAGGAGATCGTCCACGTAGGTAAACATATTCTTCCCACCAGTCAGAAACATAGTTAGTGGCCCACCAAGACTTCAAAATCAAATAACGTTGAAGTTTTTTACCAATGCCTTTTTGGAATTCATTAGCTAGAGTCTCCATACGAGCATAATTGTCATCATCGAGTAAAGGTCGAACACTTCGCAGGTACTGTTAGAGAAATAATCCAATTATTTTGCAATTCCTTTGATTATAAAGAAAAAGCGAAAATGTAAGAATCAGAACTAGCAAGAGCTGTGAGGAATTTCACGCTTGAGATAGATTTCTTTCACAATGAGAATATGATTAAAAAAAAAGAAAGTGAAATGAATTAGAAATTGGCTTCTATTCAACAAAAGAATGTTGCTAACTAATATCAGATTATAAAGTATTCTATAATCTAACCCTTTTCATAGTATCTTCCACTGAAGGTAGTGGTAGCCTTGGTAAGGATCCTTGAAAACTATACAACATTGGTTTGTGCCATCCAAAGAATATCTTCACCAATGTAGTCCATATTTTAGTAATTTTTGAAGTACTAGACCCTTTTTCTCTAGATTCATACATCCATCCTTTGTACATAAGTAACAATTTTAAAGTATAGCGAATTAGATATATCACCATCAACCACAACAATAATCCAAATAAAAATGATCCAGCTAAGTGTGCCAATATCAAAGATCTATGAGTATAATAAGAAACAAATAATTAATAATAGCTTATATACAAGTGGCCACCAAGACAATTAAATAAAAGGTTAATTAAATTACCCTGAAAGGTATGGTGCAGCTTTTCCAACAGGATCATAGGGATATTTGAAACCTGCAAAATGTATCACAGTCACCACAGCTATGGTTAACCATAAACTTTCCAAAGAGGCAGGATATACGCCGCTTCTTAGATTATTCTGAAGTTTAATTTAAATATCTTGTTAGACCTCTGTTTGAGCATTATATTTTAAATCAATGTATTATTATATTTACTTACAACAAATTTGAAGAACCTCTTTTTCCATGAGCGAATACCTGACTGCCAGACCAAATGCAAAACTTCTCTATCAAAATTAACGTCCCATCCTTCATGAGTAATAGAAAAACTAAATGCTACAGCTGAATGTGCTTCCGCCATGTTATCTATGGACCATGTAGATCTGAAATAAATGGTAATAATAATAACAATAATAATAGTAACATAAATCTGGTATAGACAAGCTCAAAATTTGATTAACATATATTTTACAATAATTTCTTATACCTTTCATGTATGAAACTTACATTTCATATTTGAAAATAAAGAGCGGGAAAACTAAATTCAAAATATTTCCTTAACCTAAAAATTTGCAAATTCACAAATTTTGTAATTTTCATATTTCTAAATTAGAAAATTTATTATTCAAAAATGAACATATGGTGGGATTTTCTTTCGCCATATTGTCATTTCCCCTAGAAAACCATATACTATGCTTGCTACTATACTTTCAAACAGTACAGATTATGACTTATAAGCTTCATTTACGTATAACCTTGTACTTTGGACTGACGTTCATCTGGTTCGAAGCGCGGCCATAATTTTAGCAAACAATTACTCGATTTCGCTGCACATTCTAAGTCCATCCGCGTATTATGCCCATTATGCGATACAATGTCTATTACGAATTCTATAACCGATCAGTGTTTTCAATCATGCTTGAAATTTTGGCATATAAAAATAACGTTTACCACTTCGGGCCTACGACATAACCGGACGTATATAAATAACAGTACTTCTTCTTGCGTTAAGCAGTGCCTTGAACTACTTTTTCACAATAACATGCTGTCCGATGAAGAAATGATTTAAAAGTTATAGCCTTTTTTTATAATTATTTCCTTTCGATAGTCTGTATTCACATAAAAATAAATATTTGTGGAGATTGCGTCGAACTATTTTATTTGTATCAAGTAAAACACAGCTAACAACAATACGACACATATAGTTGCGTATACATGTGTGACGGTAAGATTATGTATGTGAATGATTCCCGTCATGAATGAATTGACTTTGATAAGTTACAACTTTTTTTCAATTCGCTATCAAAATTGAATAAACGTACGCACATTATCGACTGTAGTACTGATTCATTTAATGTGATACAACTTACGCACTGATATACATGTCACAATGAATTTCCGTAAACAAGCGCTACTGCTATACATATGCATGAATACATTATGTAGCAGCGAATTTTTTATTTAAGAAACCGGAAATGAAAAAGATATATGAAGCTTCACTTTCTTAAGCGTCCTTAAATTTTTGTTAATAGTATATTTTTAAATATGTAAGAATTATACTATAAATGTTTATAACATATATCTATTAAAAGTATGCACGCATTGATGCATGTGTACTGCAATTGTGGCTTCTTAAGTAAGGTCAACTAGCCTATGTCCTCATACTCTACAATTTCGTTCTCACTGGTTGCAGTAGCATAATATACACTTATCTGGAAGATTAGTTGTGTTATAATTCAGAATAGGTACCTTTATTTGAAGTGTAAATAAATAATAATTGTGATTAATTATACATATATCTATGTCAAATAAATATATGCTGCTTTAAATAACAATTCACGAAAATAAATATTTTTTGTAGGCATCTTTATATTCGCCTCTCAGTTGTATACCATACAACAAAAAGAAAAGGAAACAAAATGAATGCAACAAATTGTTGAAACAGTTGCAGTTCAAAATAAGCGGCTTGAATATAAAATGAATATCATCGTATAATATACCTTTCCTGGCAAAATGCAAATATTTTAAGTGAAATATTTCGCAGGTATTTATAAAAGGAAATACACGAACAAAACAATATATGTACGTCATTTAAATTAAAATTCGACCAACATGTTAAACAGGGTCGAAGGACGAACATTCAAAACACTTCAATATTATAAAACTTAAATTTCTTGAGGTATCATACCGAAGTAAACATACAGTGTTAATTCAATATGTCGAAAACAACTCTGTAAACGACCTACAAAAAGGTTATGTCGCAATTCGTGTCTTTACTTGGTATGTTTACACGTATCTTTATCCACTGAAAGTTATACCGATCTTAATCTATTTCCATTTGCCTTTCACATCGACACGTAACAAAGATAACGATGTTTAAATGCAGTTTTCATCGTCAATAATTTACTGGGCAATTACTACTGTTCAACCAACTTTAGCGCGTTTTTTCTCTTTTACGACGTGCAGTAAATGTTCCTTACATTCGAAATAACGTACAGTGTAATTACGTGAAGTTATGGGGATTTTAAGTCATCATTTTGGTGATTTTGAATTGTTTTTAAATACTGACATAATTTTTGGAATTTTTCTCACGAAAATAAATTTCTGCTACTGCACCATTTGGCGTGCATATTAATACGCTTCTAATTCTTAAACTTAAATAATTTTTCTAAAAAAATACAACAAAATTTCATTATATTCGTTCTCTGTTCTTGTATGTAGGTAAGTGTTTGTTTCGTAAATATTTGTATTCGAATAACTGTGCGTCAGGTATAATTGAAGTTGAAGTGCGCGTGCGCAGATGTATATTTCTTTGAGAATTTACACAGAAAATGCCGCAAAGTGTGTATTGTGCATCTGATACGCTGTTATCTTTTTAATTAAAACGATTCTAAGAAGCGTGTGAGTCGTAAACAGTCATATAAAAAAAAAACAAATTAAAATTATACTAGCGACGCAATAGTAAACGTTAATGATACTTTGAAAAACTTAAACAGATTAAGTGAAAAAACAGGTATTTACTAAAAAAAAATTGCTTCCGGTAAATACGATGAATCACCGTTTACAATTACAGCATGCAATCCTTACATTTCTTTGTTCATAATTTTCTTTTAGATAACTGACATCAATTGAAAGAATAAAAGTAACAAATTTACAACTTATTTTGTTACTACGCCCAATATGTTTACAAAATTAAGAAATAATTGTGCACATATGCCATATTATTTCTTATGCCGCAACTATTACAAAATAGATAAAAGTATGAAAAACATGTTGAACAATATATACACGAAAAATAGAAATTGAGATACTTTTGAGTATTGAAGACCACATTGTAAAAAATACCTTGCCAATATATCCATATGGTATATTAAAAACAAGTATAAACATTTTTCAAAATGTATAGTCTAACGACTATGGGACCACACACAAACTTTCAGTTTTAAGTAACGATTTAAGATACCGTATAATTCATTTTTATGGAAGAGTTACTTAACATATTATATAGCAATCTTAATACATGTTGTATACATTGATATTAGTTCATCATATGAACTTAATATTTGAAATGCAATAATTAATATTAGTTAAGATTGTATAATACTGAACAATTAAGGGCTTTCGTGTATAGATAAAAATATATTCATGTTACGTTGCTTCGTTTGTATAAATAAGATGAAAGTCAAAGGTTGTTAGCCTTAAGAATCGAAACTTTACGCTGATTGGTTGTAGTCATGGGGGTGTGTGTGGTCGTGCCTCCCATCTTGGATTTTTACACATAAGTAGGCCAAAATAATCTACTATGTTGTTATTAATAGAACACTGTTTCTCCATGCACTGTTTATATTAAAGATAAAATTCAATCTGGCTAATAAAATTATTACCGTAGTTAACGAGAATTCCTGCGACGTGAATGTACACCAATTCTATCGTCTAAAAGAAACTTTACAAGCTGCCGCACAACGATAAATCTTCAAAAGCCTCTATCCTAAGACACCTTCCGTTGCACTACTGCCACTGGGACTTCGTAACATTTGATTCACTCTGCTTTTACCTCCCTCCCTCGCGCTCACAAACTGCATTGTACATTGTCGGGCATCGTAGGCTTCTCTAGGGAAAATGATGATATAGGGAAACAAGGCCCTACGACTCGTTAGTATTTTGGAATTTGCAAAATTAAAACAATTTAGAACTCGAGTAATTTTTATACTCATGAATTTTGCAGTTTAAAAATTGAAGGTATTCGAAAATTGCGAATTCAAAATTTTGAAATTTAACGAACAACGAATCTTTGTTCAATTTGCGCATATTGCCTCTGATTGGTTCAGCGTTCTTTATAACTAAGGGAAACGTACATGCGCCTTTACGATTTTTCATTTAATGTATCCTCCCACGCTGTCACTTCTTTTCTTTATTCAAATATTTTTGCCGACTGTATATATGAATGATAAAGTTCGAAAGTTGACTACGAAAGGAAACACAAGTGATGGAGGGAGCTTTTTAAGCTCATTTCAACTTCATGAAGCACTAATTCTTTCCCTCGTCACTTCAAACACAGAATTTTGCGGATTTGCAAATTTGAAAATCATTTGGTTTAGGAATTTGATAATTTGGAGATTAAAAAATTTGGAAATATGAGAATTTAAGGAATTTGAGGATTTGTACATTTTAAGGTTTACACATTTGGTCCTTTAGAATCCAAGATACCTCTTCTTTAGCAAAAAAAGCCTACTTTGCGTTCGGATGTACAATCAAGTTACCAACTTGTTAAATTAACTAAACTATGAAGTGTGAAGTATTTTATTTTATATCAAGTACATTGTATTCGCATATATATACATATAAATAATATGCTTTATAACATGTAATTATATTAGAGGCAGCAATCAAAATATCAGTACACAGGGGCAATTGTGTTTCAATCATAAATTGTATTCATTATTCGATGAATTGTTATTCGTTCTGCGCATGTCAGTTGTAATTGGCCAACTCACTTTGCGCATTCAAGAATATATTGCGCAAGCGCCTTACGATTTTTGTGATGCTAAGTATGTATACCGAGTGGGCAATAAGTTTTTTCAATTAATTTGAATAATGGATAAAGTAATTTTTACTGCAATGATGGTTTAAACAATTTTTAATCTAGATAATGTTCAACGTATCTGGGTATCATAAATTAACAATTTGAATAGTTTTTTGTATACTTTCTGTTTTCTTCTTATTGACATATTTGTCTACTATTTATATAGCTAGAAGGTAAAAAGTAGGAGTAGTGGAACACTTACTGGTGCGGTACCAACTGAAGTTAGCCGCATTGCGCGAGTCGAATATAAACTCTCGATAATAAGAATTCGTTTCTGCGCATGCGCAATCTATGATCGTAATAAATAAAGTATTGTAGCATTATATGTTTATATTTAGTACGTACGCAATATAAATATTTTGTAATTCAAATATACTATAAAAAGAGTATTATTTCTCATTTTAATGAATAATATTCATATATGTAACATCTTTACATATTTTTTATACGTATATAGGTAATATTTTATCTATAAACTATGTATGTAAATGTATAGAATATTCATTAGATGAAGTAATATACGAATATTTTTTTTGCATATATTTCCCTGCTTTTTTCTATAACAACTTGTTGCTTCTTTTATTGATGTCTTACTTTATATATAATATGTTATATGGAATTTGTAAATAATTATTTACAAATGCGTATTGCACAACACATATGTTTATAATAAAATTGGTAATATTGAAAAATGTAGTTTTATGACTTCTTGTAAAAAAGCATACATTTGAAATATGCATATATTATATAATTATGCATTAAAATTAATGAATATTTTAAATATATTCAATAATTTTATATGTCCAAATTATTTTATTATAGTATAATATATGACTGGAAATTATAGTAATTTTTTTATATGCTAGTATTGTGGACTTATTGTTATCTTAATTCCAGTCTTATCTAATATACAGGTATTTTGATGAACACAGTTACATAAAATAATGGATTTAATAAGATTTGGATTATTAACAGGTAATTATTATATATTTTATAATAACTTAAATTTTTCTTTCATTATTTTATACTTATTATTATATAAGAAATTTATACTTTATGTTATTAGTTAGTGATAGCTGCTATAAGTACAAAAAGGAAGATAAAAGTGGACCAGAAGTAGAACTTTGTATTAGTAACAATGGAACTGAAATTGGCAAAATTTTAAGGGGCCAAGTATTTCATAAAGATATTGTGCCAGACGATGAATATGCAATTAAGGTATATTCATCAAATATAATAGAATTTAAATAAAGCTATGCAGATATTATTATAAATTTTGTCATTGTATTTAGGAAAAGCTAATTTCTTGGAGCGATTCTAGACAGGTGGATGTTATTTTTACCATTGGTGGTACAGGATTTTCTAAAAGAGATGTGACTCCAGAAGCAACAAAAGAAATTATTCAAAAAGAAGCACCTGGGTTAGTCATAGCGATGTTAACATCGAGTTTAAAAATTACTCCAATGGCTATGTTATCAAGGTATTATGTGTCAACAATTATCTGTACACAATTGTTATGTAATGACATGGAATTATTTAAAATTAAACAATTACTATTAACAATCTTTTAATATATTTCATTAAGAGCTGCATGTGGAATACGAGATAAAACATTAATTATTAACTTACCTGGCTCACCAAAAGCTGCAAAAGAATGCTTAAGTGTAATTGCACCTGCTATATCACATGCTGTTGATTTAATTAGAGACAATACAGAAAAAATAAAAGATACACACGAAAATGTACAAAATGATTCTACTACAGAAATTTCTTTACAACAATGTCAAAACAAACATACTGTAAGATCTAATTTTTCTTACTGTTTGTTATTGTTGTATACAGAAAATATATACAAGGAAATTTTTATAGTTATGTTCAGGAAATATAACTGGGCGATATAGAGAATCACCATATCCAATGGTTTCAGTGGAAGAAGCTTTGCAAATGATATTAAAATACGTTGAACCATTAAATAACAAATCAGATGAAGATTTGGAAAAGGTTCATGGTAAAATATTAGATAATGATTTGTATTCCAAATATGATCTACCACCATTTAGAGCATCTATTAAAGATGGTTATGCAGTCTTAGCAAATGATGGAAAAGGCAAAAGAAAAGTATTAAGTGGAATAAAAGCTGGGAGCACTGTAAGCTACAACTTATATTACATTATGGTAGTAGAAGAATCATAGTCTTTACTTTTATGTATTTGTAGGCAAGTGGAATTAAGCTTCAACCAGGGACATGCGTAAGAGTAAATACAGGTGCTCCAATTCCAGATGGTAAATTCAATACATTTACTTTAAAAACTCTGCTTGATGTTAATTATAATAATTTTTCTTTTACCGTTTATTTTACAGATGCAACAGCTGTTGTTCAAGTTGAAGATACCAAACTTATAAAAAAAACTTATGATAATATAGAGGAGGAAGAAATCGAAATTACAACAGATGTGAAATATGGACAAGACATTAGGTATTTTATTTTTAATAATATGACATACCTAGATAAACAAAAAGAGCAGAAAAAATATTATAATTTTTCAATTTATTTTAAGACCTATTGGGTGTGATATAAAACGAGGAGAGTTAATTTTAAAATCGGGGACAAAACTTGGAGCAATAGAACTTGGCCTTGCCGCAGCATGTGGCTACAAACGGATATCAATCACCAGTATTCCAAAAATTGGTGTATTGTCTACTGGAGATGAATTGCAGTGTCCTGGTACTGCTTTAATGCCCGGACGTATATATGATAGTAATAAAGTTACATTATTATCGATGTTAAAAGAAAATGGCTATGACTCCATAGATATGGGCATTGCAGTAGATGAGTAAGTCTGTTTATACATATAGGAAAATACAAATATGAATTACTTAAATTTATTCTTTGCACATTATATAGCGAGGTCGTTATGGTGAACAAGATTAAACATGCTATAAAACAAGTTGATGTATTAATTACATCAGGTTCTGTATCTATGGGCGATAAAGATATGTTAAAACCTATCTTACAACATTATTTTAAAGCTACAATACATTTTGGTAATACTATAATTATAATTGTAATTACAATAACTACATAGCAGAAATTAAGAACAAATATTTGTTTAGGACGTGTAAACATGAAACCTGGAAAACCAACTACTTTTGCAACGTGTATGTTTCAAAACAGAAAAAAATATTTTCTATGTTTACCGGGTAATCCAGTTTCTGCAACTGTTACTATGCACTTATTTGTGTTACCTTTATTAAAGCAATTATCTAAGGACTACTCTACACCTACTATCGTGAAAGCAAAAGTATGTACTATTTTAATCTATTATTAACTGCTAAATTATACAATATTTCATATATTTTTTATAATAGTTAACATCATCTTATAATTTGGATCCGCGTCCTGAGTACGCAAGAACAATTTTAAAGTGGACTGACACGGATGATCTACCATTAGCTTACAGCACTGGGAATCAAATTAGCAGTAAACTACTTAGTTGTAAAAATGCGAATGCATTATTAATGTTACCAGGACGCACAGCAGAAAAGACAGTACTGGAAAAAGGAGAAGTTGTGCAAGCAATGTTGCTAGGATTTATGCACTATACGTGATTGAATTAAAAGACGAATATTACATAAGATAAAAATAAAAATGTTATAAATGTTTTATTGTTTTATATTTTGTTAACTGTGCTTATAGATGGGAAACACATTTGTACATAATTTTTATGCATTTGTATGGAATTTTCTGGTAAAAGAAAAATAAAAGTTGTTATATTTATATGTACATTACAATTATATGTCTTTTATCTAATAACAGAAATGTTTTATTAATTATAATTATTTATTAATAACTTAGGGTATTTGATAATGTAACATTTACGGAATTTATTAGAAAATTGTCACGTACATGAGATATACTTTTATACAAATTTTGATAGAGTTCTTAGAAGTTTCTATTACATAGAAACGTATGACGTAGGTTGTACAACGTGAGTCTTATATGTATAACGCAAAATTATACGTGTTACAACGCGCAACTGTACCATGAGTGGCGATATAATGCGAGACTATATAACACGATGTCATAAGTACAAAGTGTAGTAATACTATGTGATTTTATACAAATTATGGTGATATAACATGACATTATACAATACGTAGTGATCTACGCATAGGATACAACACGTGGCAATGTTTAGTGATATAAAGTGAAGCTACATGATACATGGTAATATAACGCGACACTTTACAAAGTGTCAAAATGTAATCTATAGTGATTCAGTGCGTTGCCATATATTGTACAGTAATGTAACAAAAAGCTATATAATGCGAGGCAATATATTATTGCTGCAATATATATGAGTTTATATAGCACAGGGTTATACACCCAATAGCAATATAATGTAAGGCTATATAACGCGAGGTTTTATATCCAATAGTAATATAAACGTAAAGCTACACATACAATAATATTAAAATATAATGCGTAATGATATAATGCGAGATTGTACAACACGTGTAATAAAATGCAAATCTATACATATAAAGTAGACTACACAACACGTGGTAATAAAACGCGTGATTATACAACGTGAGACTACACAACACGTTGTAATAAAACGTGAAGTCATATAACGCGAGACTGTACAATATGTGGCAATAAAATGCGAGCGCATTAATTTGTCTCAATCTGTTTCTCTGTTTGTTTCTAATTTTTGAACAACAGATGAAAATCTTTACTATTCCACCAATAGATAAGTAATTCCATCTAGCGGATGTCTAAGGGAAAACGGAAGACAGCATCTGCTATTTGGCAACGTACAAGAGGAAGAGTGGGGGAGCGGCGCGAGGAAGAAAATGGCCGACAAGGCAACGGTAAAAGGGCAGGGACGTCGAGTGAGATACGTGTTTCGGGAGAAAGAAATGCGAAATCCGTGTTAGATATTGTGAAATCAAACGGGAAATTTAAGCAAAAAGAACGTGTTATCATTTCTTTTAGGGGTGCGCTCACCAAAATATCAACGGATTAGTCGATTACATTGGTGTATTAATTTATCGTTTAAAAAAGCGTTCGCGGGCTGTGTGTAGGAACAAAAGGGCTCGCTAGAGGTAAACATAAATTATGCGTTGTTTCGCATTTACTTCTCGTCGCTTAATAACATTTACATCCTGAGCGTATGACTTAATTTTTTGAAAATATGTTGGCAGAAGTGTTCGTAAAAGCGTACGACTTCGGTGAAATTTCGTACGTGACAAATTCATCGATCAGTAGAGTAGGTTTATGTTAGCCACTTGTGGCCATCTACGGATACATTTAAAAGGTATCCTGTTGTCCTTGTCCTTTTAATTTCTCTATCTGTAACGTGAACTTTGCACTTCTTGCAAGCATTGTTGTCCTCAGCCTGTAAAACACCGTAAAATCATAGTGGGAAATATTGAGCAACGAATTTATCAGCTGTATATTAAACGATGGGAGCAACGAGATTTAAAGGGATCGATTTGTCAACAAGTCGATGAAAGTACGCGCACCCGACACTCTCGATCGTAATTCTTTTTTAATTTTTTTTTCTTGCATCACAGAATTGAACATTTATTGCAGTTCTTTTATTTCACTTATGTTTTAAGTGTATCACGTTCTGAACAATACTAAAAAATAACAGTGTAAGTTGATTGTCATTTTGATATTTTTAAGAAAAATAAAATTATTTTTTTATAACACAAATTAATTATGCATGAAATATATTATTTTAATTAATATAACAAAGCTGAACTTAGAAGTTTATTTAACATTTATAATCTTTAATAAATTGATGTTTCTTTTTATTACTTGCAGATATAGTCAGCTTCAGCACGATTACAATATTTATAATACTTTACAATGGCAGTTAGGTAGTTTTGATTTTCTCGGAGCTTTCGTCAACATTAAATATATTTTTATCAAGTTGAAAATGTAAAGGGAAAAGTTATAATGAAGCCACAGAAAAAGGCAACAGTTGCCCGGAAGGCAACGAAAATGCCAACAATTGCTAAAAAACGTCGCTCATTTTTAGAGAAATCTATATCTGATGTGAGGAAAGAGAAAAAGTCTAAGAAGTTGGAGAAGTTAGAGGATGCGAAGAGGAAAATGGAGAGTGATAAGAAAAAATCAGAGAAAACTGAGGAAAAAAAGAAAATAGAAGATAAGAAAAAAGTTGAGGAAAAGCGAAAGGAAAAATGTGAAAAAGTGGATGATAAGAAAAAGTGTAAAGATAATGAAAAGAAGGCAGAAAAAGTAGAAGAAAAAAAAGTAGATAAAATGGATGAAAAAGTCATTGATGACTGCACTTCTGAGAGTGTAGAGAAAAAGAAAGTACAAAAAATAGAAGAAAAAACTAAATTGGATAAACAAGTTGTAGAAAATAAGAAGAAACCTGAAAAAGTAGAAGATAGAAAGAAGAGTGGTAAAGTTGATGATGAAAATGTGGAAGATCAAGCAAAACTTTTGATTTCTATGGAAGAGAATGATTTACAGGAAGAAAAGTTAGAAATCTGTTGTTCCATTGTTAAAAAAAAATGCAAAGATGAGAAAAAGAAAGATACAAAGTTCATCAAGTCAGACATTAAGGAAAGTCTGAAGATATCTGTGATAAAAGATAAAAAATCAGAGCGTAAAAAGCTTCTTGGAAAAGGTACAGTAAATAAAGCCTCTTTAACACGTACTAAAAAAGATTCTAAGACAAAATCAATGCAGAAAAAAGGTATTTCCAGAAAGACTGTTTTGGCAAAGAAAACACATTTATCGGTTGTTCAAAAATTGGTGGATAAAAAAATGAAATTAGACAATTTGATAAAAGACGAAGAAACATCAGTAAGTGAGGAGGATGAAGCAATGAAAAGAACAAAAAGGAAAAATATTAATATGTCTAAAAACAAAGTTATGCAGGAAAAGAAACCAAAATTAGGAAAACATATGAAAGCTAAATTGTCTTCAAAGAGTAATAAAATAAATTCTGTGTTAAAAAAAGATGATAAATTTAAAACTCTTGTAGAGAAGGTTGTACCTAAAAAGAAGGTGGATTTGAAGGAATCAGAAAAATCTTTGAATGAGCAAAAGAAAGTTATAAGTAAAGATGAGACAAATGAAGAACCAGAAGAAGTAACTGACATAAAAAGTGAATTAAAAGAAGATAAAGATGTAGAGAAAAGTTGTAAGGAGGAACTATCACAGTTAAAATCACAGGACGCTAAAAAAACTATACGAAGCACCTCGAGAACAGCTAAAAAAATAATAAAAAAGAAAATAATAAACACTAATCAACCACTGTCTTCTTCCGAAGAAGTATCTTCTGAAGAGTCTAGTAGACAAATTAAAGTCTGTGAAGAAAATACAAATGATAGTGTTCCTTCTAAACAAGAACAAACTGATAATGAAACTGTAATTGCTGCAAGTCCTAAAAATGAAACAATCAATGGGGATAATATAGCTGAAGATACGTTATTATCAGATGTAGAAGAAGAAAGTAATGATGAGACAAAAGGAAATAAACAAAAGGAAATGAAGAAAGGAGAGAGAGCTAATTCTCCCTCCGACGAGCGTGTTCGTAGAATGAGATTGTTTGGCTTTTGGAGTGGACCAAAACGACATAGGGTAGCTTCTTTAAACGCGTTAGCCAAAGTTCATTGTTTGTACGAAAACGAGACTGGAGGAGTGTATCTTGGTGGTTTTTGTAAACCGAAACCTGAGAAAGAGAAGCAAAAGAAGACAAAAGAAGAGAAAGAAGAACAGGAAAAAGTACGTAAGGAAAAAGAAAAGAAGATAGAAACTAAAACAGAAGAAAATATTCCAAAAAGGAAACTTAGAAACGTGCCAGGGTTGCGTGGGAAACATTGGGATATGTTAGAAAGTTCTTCATCTTCTTCTTCTTCCGACGATGACTATGAACGTGAAAAGAATACGGAACATAAGAAGAAAATAATTAAGCGGAGAAAGAAAAATGAAGAAGTAATGGATTTGAAAGATATGGTTGTTTGCAAAAGAATGGCGAGTCTTAATGCTACTGCTATTTTAGCTGCTTCTTATTCAGACGAAAAGAATCGATGTGGCAGTAGCTCCGATTCTTCTAGTGAATCAGAAGTGGAGATCATTAAGAGACGTAAACAAACTGATTCTGATATCGACAAACGAAAATCAAGGCAAAATTCAGAACAAGATGATGTTTTAAAACCATCTAACAAACTTGTTATTTTGAATCAAGATACAGATGTTACTATCACTGGTAATCTATTAATTATATTAAAATAGATTTTTGCATATCTTTGTACTTCATTAAGATAGAACCTTTGTTTTAAGGTGTTTATGTTAATCAAACTCGATCCACACACCATGAAGGTTTTTGTAGCATTGCTGGTATGCAATATAGAATAAGTTCAACAAGTCATACTCAAACTGCAGCTACTGCAGTTGCTACTGAGCTTCATGATCAGGTCAGTTTTTTTTTTAATATGACTGAAATGAAGACATTATTGCACTAGATATTAAAGAAATATATTGTTTTATAACAGCAAAAATTGGAGCAACCATGCAAATCATATACACCATTAGGTGCATTATCTTCTATGCAACCACCTGGCAGCCAGGGTAATCATCCAAGTATGTCACCTAGAAGACATTCAGCATTTTCTGCTCCACATCAACATGGTAAATTAATTATACTTTATGAGTATACAATTATACCTTGAATATTCGGAAAACATATAATCTGTAATATTTGTTTTATATTATTAGGGTATTATCAGCCGGCTGGTCCACTGATACAACACCCACCAACTTTACCACCCATTAAAGGACCTCCTCCAGAACCAACTCCTACTCCTCCTCAAAATTCTGAAGGTTCAGATGATTTAGTTGCAACTTCCACTACTTCAGGAGGAACTAGTAGTACAGGTACATAATTTTGTCTACATTTCATAGTACATCTTAAATAATCATTCTTAACAATTTTTAATCGTGTTTAATACAAATGTTATATTGCTTTTATAGGAGGTGGATTTTATAGGGCATATTGTCCCCAATATTATGGTACTCCACCACAGTATCCAGATTTATGTTATCCACCAACATATTCTCATCCACATGCTCATCCGCCGCCTTATTATAAATATGCACCAACTTATAGAAGGTAAAACATATTTATCATATTACTGCATGTAATTTCAGGAAGTACTCGTTATGGGGACCCTTAACTTTCTTTTAATATGCTGTAAAAAAAAGGTATCTTTTCAGGCAGTATTACGGATATCAGGAATCTGGCGGAGGTGGTGGCCCTGGTAGTGGCGCTACAGCAGGAGGACCAGCCGTCGTGGATTACCAGTCACCTCCACCACCACCTGGTGAATATCCTCTGCCTGCTTATTATGGTGGTTATCCTCCACCTCCACCACCACCTCCTCCTCCACCGAATCCGGCGTATTTACATTCTCAGGGAAGACCTTTCGTAGATCGTAAGTATTTTCTTCGTTTCATTAGTAATTAGATCAGTAATGGGCAAATTTAATACTAACCGATGCTCTTAGGCGCCGGTATGTCTGAGGAGGGTCAAGGGAAAGGTTACGAAAGATCTAAAAAGAATCTAGATAGAACTTAGGTAAAGCATAAAGAGAATT